GTCCCATGCGTTGGCGGAGTGACACGCGGCGATGATGTCTGCCTCGGGTACTTTCGACGTGCCTCCGCTCGGCACGCCCATGGAGATGTTCTCACGGATCGTGCCGGGGTAGAGCTTGGGCTCCTGCTGCACGAGGGCGACGTCGTTTCGGTACGTCCAGGGGTTCAGCGAAGACAGGGGCTGGCCATCGACAAGGAGTCGACCCGTTACCGGGTCGTAGTAGCGTTCTAGCATGGCGATCATGGTGCTCTTGCCGCAGCCGGAAGCGCCGACGAATGCGACGAATTGTCCTTGTTTGATCTAAGGTACTCAAGTCAGCAAAGAGAGGCTTGTGTTGCGGGGTGAGAGGTGCTCACAGTGAGATCAATGCCACGGAGGATACGTGCGTCGGGCCTCATGGGATACGAGAACTTCACGTCCTCAATAGCGAGACTCTTGAAACCTTGGGGAGCCATGTCTCGGTTCTCTGGGGTCTCGCGGATTGTAGGTTCAAGCTGCTGGAGCCAGAAGAGGTAGTTTGCGGCACCCGTTGCCTTGGTCATGCTGCCGGAGAAGCCAAACAATATAGAGGCCTGCTGACCAGAAAAGTACACAGCAAGGAATGTAGTGAAGAATTCAACCATGGTTAGCTGCCCAAAGGATACAAGACGGCATCCGTACCTATCATGGGGATGAGATCAGCAATCACACTTCAGGCTAGGATCTTGTACAAGATAAGTTACTCACCAGAAACCCAGTGCCTGAAACCAGTATTCGACACTCTGGGTAAAGGCAAAAGGAAGCATGATAAGTGTGATGGGTTTACGCGAGTCTGCGATGGCGTGTGCCAGCTCTGCGTCGTATCTCTCGAGGACTTTCCGCTCAATAGCCAACGACGACACCGTACGGATCGAATTGATGGCTTCCGAGGCTATCGATGCACTCTGCGAAAAGCGTTTGTTGATTTTGGCGTCCATAGCTGACTCCATCCTGATGCGAGCATACCCCGAGATCAGCATAGGGGGCAGACCGGCAAATACTACCACGACGCCGAGCCTCCATCCGTAGGCCAGCGCGAGGACAGAGCATGATACAACGCCGACGATGGAGATGAGAATCAAGGCAACGGTGAAGCCCATGAGCTCGAATACAGCCTGGGGGTAGGAGTCGGTTCGGCTGCTCAGGGCACCTGTAGTGTTCTCTGGCCGGTCGAAAAACTGGAGATCCTGGCGCAGCATGTCGTTGACGATTTGCTTCCGATATTTATGGTTAAGAGTCTGGGAGTCACGGTCAGCTGGGCAAGTTAAGAGAGTGGCCATCATGAAAGGTGCCTTACCTGCGCGACCACGTTGGATGAATACCCAATAATGAAGTACACGACAAGACAGCCGCAAGCCATGACGAACAACATGAGCGCGAGGAAATTGCCCTCCTTTCGCATTTCATTACCCGTGAGCTTGAAGACATCAATGAATTTTGACATGAGCACGGCCTGGCCTGGATAAGCACCAGCTGCCAAGCAGCAGCCCGTGAAAAGGGCCAGATAGGTCCAGATAAGCTCAGGAGTAGATCTGATAATCTTGAAAATGGTAGTCACGAGCCCAGTGCTCTTCCAGTTCTCAAAATCATCACGGGAAAGGCGAGACACTGTCCCTTGTTGTGCTGTCGTCGAGTACCGCGTAACCGATCGGGTGAGCTCGACAGATTTGCGGTCAGCCGCACCGTCAGCCGTGGCGTCGTCGTCATCATCTTCGGAATCCAGCTTGGCTGCGACTGAAAGGTCCTGGGCCTTGACGAGGCGGGAGTAGCCACCCTCTGCTTCGAGGAGGGACTGATGGGTGCCTTGTTCGATGATGCGACCGTGCTCCATAACGACAATATTATCGGCGTTCCGAATAGTAGCAAGCTTATGGGCAATAGTGATGGTGGTGCGACCTTTGGACACGTTGTCAAGGGCCTTCTGGACAACTTCTTCGGCGTGCGGGTCGAGAGCGCTGGTGGCCTCGTCGAGAAGGAGAATCTTAGGCTGTGAGACGATGCTGCGGGCGATGGCCACGCGTTGCTTTTGGCCGCCAGATAGAAGCCCACCGCGTTCTCCGATAACCGTGTCGTAACCTTCGGGGAGCTCACTAATAAAATCGTGGGCAAAGGCGACCTTGGCTGCCTCTTGCACACGGGCTAACTTCTGCTCCTTGGACTCGTCCTCCCAGCCCGTACCAGCTAAACCATTGGCAATGTTATCGAAGACAGTACCGGAGAAGAGGACAGGTTCCTGCTGGACGAGACGGACTTGTTTCCTCAGCCAACTAACATTTAGGCTGTCGATAGGACGACCGTCGAGCTTCAAGCAACCCGAGTTGGGGTTATACCATCGCTCGATAAGGCCGATAATGGTACTCTTACCAGAGCCACTAGCTCCAACAAGAGCCGTTACCTTACCGGCAGGAATGCGCAGGGTGAAGTTGTTCAGAACAGTAACGCCAGGGCGCATAGGGTAGCTAAAGACGATGTTCTCGCATTCAAGAGTACCCTCAACGACGTCAGGCTTCGCACCCGAAGGATCGTTCGGGTCAATCTTCGAGGGGCGGTCGATGAGGCGGAACAGCTCAGCAGCTGCAGCCGCAGCACGGCTGAAGTCGATCAGGTAGGGAGCGATTGAAGTCAGACTAGAGGCGGCCACAATGACGGACATGAGGACACTATAGGCTGTCAGTAAGGAGACACAGACAGGCTTAGAAGTAGGAAATAGCGGACATTCGGGGGCACGCACATAAATACGTCTCCTGGCTCGTCTACCTCCCCCTTGACGAGCATGCCGATGGCCTGCCAGAAACACAGACCCATTCCAGCAAACATGATAAAGTATTCAGCCGAGAACATGATCCCAAAAAGTAGGTTCTTCTTGTTACCGAGTCGGCGAGCTTCTTTCAAGTAAGAGTCAAAGTTCTCCACTAGTCTGGTGCGGAGGGCGAAAGCCTGGATAGTGCGGGCGCTGGAGAGCACGCTCTCGACGAAACTGCCTCCCTGCGCATGAACTTTGAGGATTTCGGTCTCGATACCGGCCTCGATAGTGGAGGCTACTCCGATGACGAGCAGCGTAGCAGGGGCAATACAGCAAGTAATAAGGGTGAGCTTCCACTGTGTGGCAAAGGCCAGAGCGAAGGCGGCGACAAACGCTGCAAGTCCCTGAAAGACCATGCCGAGCTTCTCGGAGATGCCAGCCTGGATAAGCTTGCCGTTGGAGGTGGCCTGGACGGCAATGGATCCGCCCTCGGCCGCATCAAAGTAGGCTACGTCCTGACTTAGACCGGCTCGGAGATACGCAGTGCGGATATTGCGAGTTGTGCGAAAAGCGGCGAGTGTTAAGAAGGTGGCGTAGCCGTAACTGAGTGTGAAGCGCACGATGCCGATGATGAAGAAGTAGAGGCTACAAAATGGCATTCGCCGGTCAGCTAGAGTCCTTGCTCACACACCGTTGAGATACTTACGCAAGCCGAGATGCATCTTTACGGAACTCCGCTGGCGTATTCTGGCCGGTCACGAACTTGGTGATGACGGTGATGAACTGGCCGAAAACCAGGTTGACCATTGCCATGGCCACGCCCGAGCCGACGGCACACAAGATGGCCGCAGCCTGCATCGAGTGTTCGGATTTGGTGCCATATTTGAAGATTCTCTGTCATGTATTAGCTCATCATTCGGCTAGGTAGCGCGACACACGTTTCCTCACAGTATAACCTTCCACAGGGCCCATGTTCTTCTCTTCGTCCACCTTACCATCCTGCTTCTCTGCGATGGGGACATAGGCGGGCGTGGGGGCCAGACCTGGACTCATTGGGCTCTCCCCTTGTGTTGCCTTTTCGTTTGCGACGGCCATCGCGACGGTGTCTCGAAAGACTGTACCGACAGAAGGGACGGTTGGCGCAGTGGGCTGGGGCGCAGATTGTAACTTGGTACCTTTTTCGAGGTTGGAGGAGGCAGATGAAGGCAATGAAGAGGAAGGCGATGAAGATGAAGCTGGGGGGGTTATGAGTTTTGACCTCGAAAGCATGAATACAATTTGGTTGCCCTGCCTTCGTAACACAGAGTATTGAAGTTCTCCACCCCAATGACGGTGCCCAGGCCCGACTTTGGTATGCCGTGGGTCAGAACTCTCACAGGTGTTGCCTGTCGGGCATCGGGGTTCGCGGGCGCCGTACTCCATTTTTCACGGACGATTAAGTCAGTGAGCAGCGGATATAGTATAGGGCGTATTGCGGCTAGCCCGTCTTTCCCTTTTGGACCCATCACAAGAAGGCCAACCTAGAAATTCGGGGCCCGGCCGGGGCTACGGGAATACTTGCCAACCCCCGAAATCCCGATGCCAAGTCCAGATGCCATACCAAAGTAAATACAGCGGAGTCATGTTGATTGAACCTAAATCATGTTTCTTGCAGCTAATCTCCACAACCTCTCCCTCGGTGCACCTCCCCATTTATGCCACCATTTTCGTGGTCACATGACGACTCGGAAGTGCCGACCCGTGGAGATGGTTTCCTGGCACTTGACGTTGGAACTCTACAGGACCGTTTGCGTATTTCAAACCCAGTTTGCGACTATATCCATTGATTATAGACCAACCCTACAGCGTGGCTGCTTCATCCGATCGTCCTCTCATCAGCACGACATCTTTGATCGTTGTTATGGCGCCTCTTGTTACCCACCAAGTTCGATCCCTACTCGACAACCTCACGGACGATGGCATCGATAGCAGAAATGTAAAATTGAAGCTTCACGAGCATCCAGAGGAGCTTGTGCGATGGTGCAAATTTCTGCAGAGGGACGACTCCTGCGAATCAACCCGGACATCTGACCATGGCAATAGGCATGAAGACAAGGAATTAGAGAACCACCGCGACAGCCGTACTACGAATGGTTCCGGTGCTAAACAAGCCCCCGATCGACGACACCCGCGTCTCAGCATTGCCATCCACATCGTGGGGTCTCGCGGCGATATCAAGCCTTTTATACCTATCGCCCAAATGCTCGCGGGCCCGCGCTATGGCCACCGTGTGCGGATCTGTACGCACCCTCACTTCAAGGACTTTATAGAATCCCACGGCGTCGAGTTCTTCAGTATCGGTGGGGATCCGGAGGCTCTCATGGCATACATGGTCAAAAATATGGGCTTGATACCTAGCCGTACGAGCATCAAGGCCGGCGACGTCAAAAGGAGGCGCAAAGAGATGTGGGAAATAATTAATGGTTGCTGGCGAAGCTGCATTGAGGCTGGCGATGGCACTGGAGACCCCTTGACTGCAACATCTGTTGAAGATCCCGAAGAGCTCTTCTTGGCTGACCTTATTATCGCTAACCCGCCATCAATGGCCCATATACATTGTGCCGAAAAGCTGAGCATTCCACTCCACATGGTGTTCACCATGCCATGGTCGCTTACCGAGGCCTTCCCACACCCCCTGTCGGCCATGGCGTATAGGGATGCGGACCAGGGCGTAGCTAACTACATGTCTTTCCTCATGGTAGAGCTACTGACCTGGGAAGGGTAAGTGGCCTCTCTCCTTAGCTTGATTGGTGTTATTCGATGTCATTGTTGTCCTCAGATAGTCGGCTGACGCTTCCACAGGCTTGGTGACCTGATAAACAGACTCCGGGTGCAAACCCTCAACCTCGACCCTCTGAGCGCCTTTTGGGGGTCTCAGCTCCTCTTTAGACTTCACGTTCCATATACTTATCTTTGGTCCGAGGCCCTGGTGCCCAAGCCGAAAGATTGGCGCTCCTATATCAACATCACGGGCTTCTCCTTTTTGCCCTCGTCCACTTCACATACGCCCCCGCCAGAGCTTCGGACCTTTCTCAAAAGCGGGCCTGCACCCATCTACATTGGTTTTGGCTCTATAGTCGTCGACGATCCACTGAGCCTAACCAAAACGGTGTTCGAAGCTATCAGAATCGCCGGCGTTCGTGCGATCGTCTCCGAGAGCTGGAGTACATTCAGGCGCCAGGATAACATCCCGGAGAATGTGTTCATGCTGGGAAACTGCCCCCACGACTGGCTTTTCCCACAAGTCGCTGCCGTTGTCCACCACGGAGGTGCTGGGACCACGGCAGCGGGCATAGCTACCGGGAAACCGACAGTTATTGTGCCGTTTTTCGGCGACCAGCCTTTCTGGGGCCAAATGATCGCTCGCGGCGGCGCGGGCCCCATGCCCATACCTTTCAAAGCCCTGACAGCCGACAACCTGGCCGACAGCATCAAATTCTCCCTGCGACCCGAGGCCGGCACAGCCGCGCTGAATATGGCTCGAATTATCGCATCAGAGCACGGCGCCAGTGGCGCAGCTGACGACATTCAAGCTCGCATTGATAGGGATGCACTCCGGTGCGCATTGTCTCCCGATAGGATTGCTATTTGGGAGCACAAGGTCAAAGGTACCCGCATAAGCGGCTTCGCGATGGCATGTTTGATCGAAAAGGGTCTGGTCGACTATCATGACGTCAAGATAATCAGGCATAAGACTTGGAACCTTGACGACGGAGCCAAGCATCCTCTTGTGGGCGCGGCGGCAGCTGCGTCGTCCTTCATCACAGCCATAATGTTAGCGCTGGGAGATTATTCTAATGAACTCAAGAAACGTCCGGTATCAACAGCGTCTAAAGGCAAGCCGGGGCCAGTCGAGCCGAATTTGTCTACCATGGTGGCCGAAGACGAAGCCGCGCCGCTCGAAGACAGCCTCCAAAATCTATCCAGAAGTGAGCATAGGCATGCTGAGAACCATCGACCAGATCCGAGGGCCTTGGAACGGCTAGATGCCCTTGTCCTTGAGACAGCTGAGAAACTAGTGCCGGGGTCATTGGCCCAACAGCCCACATCGTCCTCAATCAACCTGCGTCAGGTAGCTGTACAAGCCAAGTACCAAGGTCGGCGCGGCAATTCTAGATTTATCATGCGAGCCACGGGACGATTGGCTGGCGATCTGAGCAAGGCCTGTCTCAGGGTCCCCGTTTCGCTATCATATAACATTGCCAATGGCTTCCATAATTTGGCTTGGTATAGCTTCATGCACAAGATGGACGCTCGGCGGCGCGATGAGATCGATGGATGGAAAAGCGGCCTACGCGCTGCTGCCAAGGAGTCCTCATTGTCATTATGGGAAGCCTTCACCAGTGTATTCCTAAGCCCATATCTGGGCGTCAAAGAGGGTGGAATGAAAGGACTCATGATCGGCACCTACCTCGGCGCCCGAGGCTGCTTCTGCCTCCTTGGAGCTTGTAAGTTCATTCCTTCGTCTAGAATCAAGACCCTTCTTTCCTATCGGGAGGACTGCAGATGCCCTGAGCCTCAAGTCCTCCAGATAGTTAACCGATCACAGCGTTGTTTGCCATACCAGGGTATTCTCTCAAGGGAGTCGAGAGAGAGTTAACCAAAGCTTATTCTACGAGGTTGCGAAGAGAAATCACGTTGATACGACTCAGACAAGCAGCATCTGATATGCAACACGCAACAACAGAGGATATCGATCAAGTGATCAAAAAGTGGGAATCTTTACAACAACTTCCAAGTGGACGGACCTGTCGTAACCTGTACCGGGCGCAACAGGCTTCCCGACCGGCCCAATTCGAGGGGTAGTGGATGGATCGTGCCTCAGACATTTGAGGTTTCATTTTAGACTGTATGCCTCATGCATCGATATTTTCAATCTGATTACTTCCCGTGTGAAGGTTTCCTGCGAAGGTCCATTTTACGATGCTTGATTACCTATTTAAATTAGGGCCCTGATCTATAGTACGCCAAATGCTTCCGATCGGTTAGTCATCTTGGTCAAGATACCAACGTTCACATCGCGTACTGTGCTCACTTAGACTGATTTTATTTCAAGATTCAGCACCCCTCACTGGTAATATGATGCATTTAGGCTACATTAACTACCTTGAATGGTGTCGAACCATTTCAACAACACGCCAAATTTACTCACTTTTAGGCGGCCCTGTGTAGTGTCGACGGCCCCACGCGACATACCAGCCAACTGACAACAAAGTAGCAAAGGTAAAAACGACGGGTGCGTAGTTGACAGAAAGCGCAGTCACAGGCAGCGGGGACGGCATACAGAATAACGGCACAGCTAGTATGGTCCATCCTAAGGCGCATCAGTAATTGTCTCCTTCACTTCTGAGGGAACTCACCTATGGTCACAACATTGCATGCATAACCCCATTTGCCAAGGCTGAACGATGCTTTCTCGAGGTGCTTGCGGCCGTTCATGAGACTGGTGGTCACTGGCGTGGCGTACGCGCACGTTAGGCAGATGACGCCGACCCCGGAGAAAGCACTGAACGCTGCATTCGATCCAAAGTAAAGCAATCCAAGCAGAAGCTCCACCACCATGAGGAACATCATGGCATTCAGCGGTACCTGGAGGCCCGTGTGGATTTGACTCCACCACTTGGAACCGGGAAGTGTGCCGTCCCGACAAATGGCCCACGTACAGCGAGAGGAGGCAGTGGTGCAGCCGACTCCACAGATGATACCGAGGATCACGAGAGGCAGCAGAAGCGCAAAAGAAGCTGCGGACGAGCCTACGGCGCTTTTGATGATGGTCGGAGTAGGCTGTGCCAAGGAAGAAGTTGCCAACAATGTTTGAATATCCGATAGGACAAAAACAAGGGGGATCAAGAACAGAAGACCAGCTACGGTATTGATGCAGGCAGTTGCAACCATTGCCTTGGGTACCTGCGTGCTCGGCTGACGCACTTCTTCGCACATCCTGTTGTTGAGTTAGTCCTGCTTGGCTATCCACCATCTGCGAATTGAAGGTCGTAACGTACGAAAGGATCATGCCAGTTGACGATGTGGCATAGCCAGCGTGCATCAGGCCGATACAGAAAGACCATGCATCTGGCCAACCCGACTCTGTTTCAAAATGACCAAAGACATAGTCCGCAGAGTGGCGTCCGTTCTTTGCAACAACAAGAACAGTTATAGTTATGGCAAAGACGCCTGCGAATGTCCAGAACACCGCCGCAGTCTACGGTCTCGTCAGTTATTTGATCTCTATAACACCAATCGCACGTAGATGTAGCGCTGACTTACATCAATCCATGGAAGCCAGCGGTTTCCACAAGATGATACAAAATTACAAAACAGTGTAATGGCGGCAAATAGAAGAAAAAGCTGATATGGTGTGCCGGGGAAGATGCCGACGCCTGGTTCCTTTTCAAATACGTTCAGACAAGCAGCGAAGAAGGAAGCAGTGCCGAAATTGACAGAGAGCGTGATCGACATGTTCCCGACAATGTAGAGCCAGCCGCAAACCCAACTCGCGATATTACGGTACTTTGCGGGAGCAAGCATTGCGGTTTGGTGATACACACCTAGTAAAGCCGTCAAATACAGAGTCAGCGTTGCAGAACCGACAACAGGGTGGCTTCAAACAAAACAGGAGGGCCACCTACCACCAGAAGTAGGGTAAACGCTGGTGATCTCGCCGAGAGAAGCCGCAACACAAACAACGAGTAGGGCGACCAAAAGCCAGCCCCAGATTATGTTGACAGGACCACCGCCTATTAGAGGGTAGTTCAATGTCGTCGCGAGGCCATAGGGATTTGCCGCCAGAATGAAGGCCATAAACGCCACATGAGCCGTTGACCGATTGCGCTGTAGCTCTGGACGGTACCCGAGGCTTTCCATCAGCTCATCGGCATTGGTCTCGTCGGTGAAGTTGATGCTTTCACGTTTTTGTTCGGATCCATGGAGATGATTCGCGAGTTTCCCATGGCCCTCCCCGACCAAGTCAAGCGCCCCTGAGTCTTGCGGTATGATTGTAGCCATGTTGTTGCACGACTGTTCAAGGCTAAAAGAAGGAAATAATTATTCTTGGCATACGTTTACCAAGATCTTCAAGTAATGTGTACGGAGAATAAGCAAATACAAAAACCGACGGGGGTTTGTTGTGTTGGCATCGCTCGAAGCGACCAAGCACGACGAAAGGTTATCAATTGTTCCGCTTACAATGCGCCAGGCACACATCCCCGGGCGGTCGGGCGTATGCTGGCAGACAGCAAAATCTCTTCATTTGTCCGACTTGCTACGCAGCCCAGGAAGAAACACCTCTGATCATTCTGGCATGATCCAGTTTCCCTAAACAGGCAGGTTCGGCCGACATGATGCTGAAGCTTAGTGGCCTGAACAATGAGCGACGTCGAGGACCGGACGCTAATTAAACAGGGGATGATGGTAGGACCGCAGCTAGAAGCGCGACTCAGTTGAGATCAGGTTGAGTCGCTCTCGTACACACCTCATAAAGATCCACTCGTTCTCCGGATCGCCTAGGCTTAAATAGGCAGTCTGGGGCGATGCCACCGTCGATCTTCGTAGTCAGCTAAGCTTTCTGGTTGTCTTAGACTACCCAGCCCAGTGATGACGAACACGCCCTCTGGTGGACCCCTCGCGCTCACAGGCGGCCGAAGAGACACGCAGAACCTACCTTTGAGTTTCCACACAGGTGCTATGCTACCAGAGGAGCCATGCATGGTCACATCTGTTGAATTGGGACATCGATTTATGCCAAGTCCTCCCGTTGTTACTTTGACCAGGCTGTAGAGTCGCTGCAACCGACCACACATCAAGCACAATAACGCCCAAAAAGATCTGTCATATGTTTTCGGAATATCTCTCTCTCGACGTGGTTCAGGTACCTTGGCTTGGTTAGTGCACTGCACCCCACGACCACGGCTGCCGTCTAGTAGCGAGTCGCAATACCCATAATTCTCGGATGGCGGTCGGAACATTCGGACACCGAAACCAGAGGTATTCCTGCTGTATGGAAATCTCGCCCTCATGAATCTCTGCCTGGCCCCGACAAATTGCGCTTTTCGCCAAGTTCTGCCGCATGTCCAAATTTCATCACGTCATCAAAGGCCTGTTCTGGAATCAAGTGCCTGAAAATAAGCATTGAACTACAGGGTCGATGCAGTATCGGGTCCGTCTCCTCCAGTCCCAGGTCATCAACAAGGGAGAGTCGTCTCATCTTACCTCTTTCGGTATGCTGCGACGAAACGCAGCAGAGGGTGATGAGTTCCTTCCTCGCCAACGTCTTCAGGCACAGGCGCCCCCAAGATCATTCCGGGGGTGTTGGACTTGCCGTGATCGGCGGGTCAAGTGCGACGAGCAAAAGCCCGCGTGTCGGAGATGCCTCCAGTCTGGCCAAGACTGCCGAGGTTATGGGGTGCGTCTCAACTGGTCTGCGTCTCGTCAGTATAGGGGCTCCATCCTGTCGGCGACTGTCAAACAGAGCGGTGCCAGATCACCAATTAGTCAATCATCGGAAACTTTGACTACAACCACAACTTCATCACCCTCAGCGTCGGTGTCTGGCTTGGAATTGGGTTCGGCCGACGCATTCCGCGCCAATGTTGTCGCTAAACAGGGTCAAATATCGCCAATTGAAACCACCAGGCATGCAACAATACCAATCGAAAGCCCTAGAGGCATACTCATGAGGGACGCAGCTCCCCCCGAAGGATCATCATCACTGTCGGAGGACGATCAGTCCCCTCCAAATCTGACCGGGGAGTCTTTGTCTGTGCCTCAAGATGAGCTCGCCAGCCAACCACATATCACCAAAAAGGGAGATTCCCAATTTACGTTGTCCATGTCAGCGCAGGACAAACAACACCAGCAGATCAGCCGATCATATCCTGTCACAGCGTCTAGATCTTCTGCGTGTGGGGGAAGCGTCACGGCCAGTCGCTTCGCATTCAGGCAACAACAACCTACAGAGGGCTGCCCTCCAGTCCCAATGACCCAACGCGTTGATTTTCTGTCAATGCCCCAACATCAGAAGAGCCTCATCTTTCACTGGGCCACATTCACGAGCGGCAAATTGATGCTGGTGGACTCGCCAGATAACGCTTTTAGAACTGCCATGCTTCCTAAAGCTCTTTCGGGAATTTCCGGCCTCTCAACGGAGTCGAATGTTAACAAGGCGATCTTCCATTCCATCTGTGCAGGATCCGCCTTCAATCTTTTCGAACTCTCGGGGGGAAAGAATCCCACCCTCGAATCACTGGCCCTCAATCACCAAAGGCTGCAGCTCGAACATCTTCGGTTCAATCTTGGGCGCCAAGATGATCCAGAGGTCCGTCAGTCGCTTGGTAGTGCCATCATGGCGTCTATCGTCGTCGAAGCAATATCTGGCGCACGATCAAGATGGAAAACGCACCTTAGTGGCGGAGTCTCATACCTGAGGCATCTCCAGATGCATGGAGGTCTCTCTCATGACCAGTACGAATTTCGGGACAATATACTTCGAATGGCATTGTTGTGTCACTGGGAAATACCTAGTGAGGTGATGTGCTTGATTGACAAACCCAAACTCGATGACGCCAACAACTTTTCTGGAACGACGAGCTCGTTCTTCACAAACATCACAGCTATGAACCGGCTTCAAGGGCCTGAAACGACGAAGCATGAAATCGATAAATTCGAATTACAACTATACTTGAGTTTCCCCCCTGCTCAATCCTCGCGAAACGCCTCGCTTGACGACGAAATGGCTGTTGAGGAACACGCAGCTCGAGCTTTCTATTACGCGAGCTTGGTGTACTTTCAGCGCACAGTTCGCAAAGCCTCCCCTAACACCGTCCGTTCTCTTGTAAGCATAGGATTACGGGAGCTTGAGTTGATTGACACCTTGTCCCGCGGAAGGGGAGGCTGTATCGCGCTTTGGCCTGTTCTTGTTCTGGGCTCGGAGGCGTCAACTTGCGAACTGAAATCCCGCGTCACGACATGGTTTCAAGCAAAAGAAGCTTATGGAATCAGTAACGTGCGCGTGATCCACAAGCTATTGAAAGACCTATGGTCTAGAAGATCCCAAGATGGTGGCATTCGGTGGCAGGACCTTATTGCGGAGGAGAATTATGACGTGTTTAACCTGTAAATAAGGGGAGTTGACGTCAATTTTCCTGGGCCGAAGGCTTTGGTTTAGCGACGGTCAAATGAGTAGATCAATTTGAGATTTCCAACAACAGGACCGCCCAAGTTAGGGCGAAGAAACACTTTATCTCACGAACGCCTAGCGTGTAATCATTGGCTGCGAAGGAATCTTTGACATTAGTCTCGATCAATTCGCAAGCCTCGGGGTTTCGTGACTCGATCGGCTTCATAAACCCCCGCCGTGGGGTCCTGGCCCGGGTCTCGCGGCCTCCGAGACACTATCGTATCCCTTCTTTTATCTCCAGGAGCCCATATTCAGCTCCATTATCCAGCGGGATTTCGGTAAAACACTCGCCTTACCACTACACAATTTCGCAGCACCACTGTCTAACATTGCGGTCTTTGCCGGGATTTCGGGGCACATCATTCCAGAATCCAAAGGCGATGTCATCGGGCAAGCTTCAGTCAGATCAGTCCCCTACTGAGGAACCGCCGCCGGCCGATGCAGCACATGTTGCGCCTAAAGCCGTATGTACTTCCCGTATTCACTAAATCCCATTGCTGACACTTCTGTTGTCAGTGTGACAATTGTGCGCGTAGAAAGGTTAGATAATTCCACCTGTTCATCCGTGGAACCTGACGGACAAATAGGACTCACAATTGTAGATTCGGTGCGACAGGTCAGTCCCATGCTCGCCATGTGTGCGCATGGGACTGAATTGCGTAGTATCGCCCCGTGTTCGAAGACACAGACGGCCGCGGACGAGTGCTGCGACCGGAGGGTGAGTGCTGGGATGTTGATGAAACTCAGATCTATCCAAACTGACGCAGCCTGTTGATGGCTGAAGTGCCGAAAGCTTCTCCTCCGTTGCCGAGCGACTTGAAAAGATCGAAAGCCTCATGGATGTTCTGACAGGAGACCCTCATACCCGTTCCAGGATCGATGAGCACTTCACCCAAGCTCGCCGCACGCCGTCTACAACTTCTGGGAAGACCCTTACGGCCCACCAAGACCATCAGACCATTCAAGCCACTACTCCTTCATCCTTGCACTCCAACTCTCAGCCATCATCGCTCCACAATACTCAGTCTTCAACCCCACAGTACCGCAAGGTTGAAGGCGTGGCCGATGATGATGGCGAAGCAAATGATAGCGGGGACATTGAAGCTGAAGGCCCCTCTTCCTTGTCAGCCCACTCCAAGTTTGCAGCAGACTATATCGAAGGGATAGTCGCCCTCAATGGGGGGGAGAGTTCCAGTGGCGATACTCTTGGTCTTCTCAATGACCTTCAACATAAGATTCTAGTAGTCCGCAAGAATCAGCGGTCTTTGAAACACAGGCTTCCCACTCTGGGCGAAGCTTCATTGTCAACTCGCAGTCACAAAGATATGATACCACTCGACGTAGCTATTCAACTCCTCCGAAAAAGTCGCAGTATGTTTGTTGTGTTGACTTTCTTTTGTATACGCTTCCGAGGAGTTGATACATACATGGGCTGAGCCAGTGCTAACAAGTACAGCGGGGGATGGGTTCGCAATTCAAATCCTTGAGAAGCTGTTGCCGAAAACAAATCTCGTGGGTTTGTGCCTGGATATCTATTTCGGTACCGAGTTTGATAGGGCAGACTTTATCATCCTGAACTTCGCTCTATATTGTGAGCGATGCATGGCCAGTATGCGCTGCACACGTCCGCTAATGTATCCAACAGGTCTCCTCGGCGAACCACACATGATGAAAGACGAAGGTGAGAATCTCATCGAGAGAGAAAAACAGTATGTGAATGTTTGTACGTCAAACATCGATACGGCTATCGCGGAGCTATCGCTTTTCATGCCTAAGACACATCGTACGATAGTCGCTCTCGTTCTCGGGGTAAGCAGCACGCCCATGGCCTTTCAAGCAATCCACAGCCGTAATGATGTAGAACACCATTGACGCAACATAATCAGGCAATCTTTGCGATGGAAAAATCAAGACCCTCTCTTGCATGGGATTTGATTGTTGCGGCCCGGGAGATCTCGCACTCACTGGGTTATCACAAAAGGCAGCGAGGGACTGACGGTGGGTCGCAAGAACCAAACCACGCTGGACTTCTCTTCTGGCTCATATACTTCTTTGAGAAGACTCTTAGCCTGCGCCTAGGCCGTGCTTCCACCATTTCGGAGGTAGACGTAACTGTGCCTCCTCCCGGTAGTGGCAATACGTCATGCCCAGTCCAGTCTTACTGCTACATTCAAGTTCGGATGGCTAGGCTCGCCGGCATGATTTACACAGATCTATACTCGGCACAATCACTACTCCTGGACTCTGAGACGAGACGAGCTAGTATGGAATCCCTCTCTCGGCACGCGCGAGAGATACACGAAGATACTCTGGCGAGCAAGGTGAGCGGCCCACATAATCCCTAATTATACATGTCACGTTGACATTCCTCTATTGTAGGCTCATTTCGAGCGACTCGGCTATTACGAAACGTCACGGCCCTGCCTTGAGTACCTGTTCATCGGGGACGAAGTTGCTCACTTCTCGGTCCTTACTATGATACACCGCGCTGCGCCAAGCGAATCACTGGCACAGCCTTTCTCAAATGAATGCATTGCATATGCCAGACAGGCATTTGCGCGCCACGATAGCTTCGATAAGAGCAAGAGACCTGTTTTGTTCTCATACATGAACTGGTACGTTTCACAGCCAGGGGCTTTGAGGCCGAAAAGCCGACAATCAGAGTCATCAAGATCGTCTGTATGAGCTGGAAATCTTACACTCTCTCAGGGCTTTACTGTTTCTTCCTTTCATTCCTTTTTTCGTGTTGTTCTGCAACGTTGTCGAAAATGGGAGCCGAGACGATCTCAAAAGACTGGAAATATTTGTTCAATCCATCGGGGCCGCGTCAGAGGACCCTGGTCTAGCAGATCACTATCAGCTCTTCGGGGCTTTTTACAACGCCGCGCAACAATACACGGATAGCAGAACCGATATACTTTTGCCGAAGCAGACGAGAGAGGAGCTGGACCAATGGATGGAGTCATACCTGAGTCCGCTTGGCCTGCAAGGACAGATGAACTTCGCTCAGCCATCTCAGGGCGATATCGAGGGCGATGGAGTGCAAATGTCGTCACAAGGTGGGCCAATTATCATGGCAGGTGCTTCGACAGACGAGAGCGGACTTGTCCACTACCATGGGTATCCGGCTGAGCAACTTCAGAACTTGAACTGGTTCGGGATGAATCAGCAGCACTCGATGGACATGATGAACATTGACAGCTCATAGTGTGATCACTACCTGTTTGATGGGAGAGGATATTTCCTCCATGTTCTTGCGAATTCAATGTATGTAGTGCAGGCTTAGAATCGTGGGGTTAGAGGGAAGTGACTCACTGACTTTCGCCTCGCCAGTGTGATGGCCTCCTTGAGCACTAAACATGAGAGGCATAAACAGTACTATCAGCAGATGATCAAGAAAGCAAGAAACAACAAACTGTCATTGAGACTCGCCCCCAGAGTGGGAGCGTCCGTTTTTTGTCATACGGATTTTCAATTGCCCAGGAGTTGGCAGGTCGGTATTTGACCCATGCAAGTCTCAACATCGGGTAGATCGCTCACGGCTATAAGTCCAACTGGCACCCGCAGCTGGCAATGAATACTGCTCTCCCCACTTATACAACGTAGGCGAATTGATCGCCGCTCTTCTGAGACGGCTATCACGGACAATCTCGTGGCCCGAGAGCACCTTCGTGCTTCGAGCGACCCTTCCTGATGCGGAGCACCGTACTAATTCTTGGCATGGAGCATGTTCTTTGTCTTCTCCCTTGACTCGAGTTCAACTCGCAATACCCGCCCCACACACGTCTTGAACAATAAGGCAGACAAAGACGGCATGGGACAGTTTGTACACGGCGTCTTTGTTCAAAGTCGGGGACGCATTCATGGGTCAGGACGTCTGTGTTAGGACGAGAAACCATGACGGAGTCTGTTAAAAGCGGAGTGAAGTCCTGGCTTTCACAGCACGGCATGAGAGTGAAGTGTGTTGACTCTTGAGCCACAGTGGACTACCGCATCGCTTCACTGTATTTGACTTGAACTTCTGCACGAATTAGACTTACACGGACGGCTGTCTTCAGCAACACCAGCAATTGGAAACACGATCGAGCGCAGCAACAACCCCGCGAAACACTTCTAGACACCAACAGCGGGACTATGAACGACAAGGGACTGCTCTCGGCGACCCTCGCCAGATCTCAGGATCAAGGCCATCGCGGCGACATGCCACCGCTCCCGTGGCGTCCGATCAACACCAGAATCGATACGCCGACGATACCAAGCATGACCAGCCAAGTAGATAACCCCCCTTCGACGTCCACCCCCCATCTCAGTGAACAGAGCTCCGAAACTCCGCTGTCGAGAACTCCGACCTCGATAGAAAAGAAGCCCGTTCAACCTACCGCGCCACGCTTTCCGACGCCGCCGCCGTTCCAGCCGATGGTCTATCACCCGGTCCCGCAGACCCCCATCCGCTTTGAAGACCAGACGCGCCGATGGTCCGCGCAGTGGGCGCACCAGGCTCATCTGCTGGGTATCCTCCCCGCCAGAAACCCTCCCTCGCCGGCGCCGTCCCAAGACAAATTGGTCGCCATGCTCCAGGTCCTGCATAAAGGTTGCGACGAGCGGGTCGCCGCTGTCCAGGCGAAGCTTTCGCGGGTCGAGCGCGAGCTGCGGGAGCGGATCGCAGCGCTGGAGGGGCGGGAGGTGAGCTCGAGGCTCGAGGTGGGCCAGCTGAAGGGGTGGAAGGCGGAGGTTGAGCGGCGGGTGCAGATGCAAGTTGATGTTGTGAGCGAGGTCGTCCGGAGGGTCATTGCCACGGAGGATATGGTGGGCGAAGTGCGGACTGAGGTGCTGCGGGAGCGCGGTGCTTGTTTGGGCAGTGCGTTGAGGGATGAGGGGACCATTGTTGGGCCAGGATTCCCATCACCTTTGTCTGAGGCGTTTGATGACCTCTCCGGGGCTGTGGACTCGGTCTACAGCGACGATGACCTTCCAATGACTGTCGACTCGATATGCTGCGATGATGGCCTCCCCGACTACCTTCCATCAAGAGAGACAACAGCCTCGCCCTACCCGTACGCCAACATCGCACCGCCTTCGCGCAGCACTGGCAAGAAAGTCGTTAAGAAACGCAGGAAGTTCTCCGCTGTCAGTCTGCCTCCCGTGACGGAGACGTCTCCTACCATCAGTGGCCCAACCAACGTGGACGTCGGCCTGAGGCTCTCACGTCCGCTAACAATGGACCATGAGCTCAAGAGCCTTCACACTCACCAGCCTCTCAAGATGGACTCAGGATTCAGACTCCAGAAGCCGGCACGCGTCTTACCTCCGACGTCTGTCCCCACGGAAACGAGCAACGATCCCGCCCCCACCGTCCGCGTCTCGTCCCTCCTGACGACCCTCTCCGACGGCACCGCAACGCCTATCTTCGCCTTCAACAAGCACCCCGAGACGGTACGCGAGCAGTGGGACGAGTACGAGCACGGACTCGCCGGCCAGCGCGCCGTCCGCCTGCTCGACGAGCGGTACACGACAAAATGGCGGCGCGACACGTACGCGCGGACGTGGTACTCGCGCCGCAAGCGGCTTTGGGGCGTGTGCAAGGAGCTCCTCAAGCGGGGGTTCAGCGAGGACGAAATGGTTGCGACGATTGAGAGTTTCCTGGCCGCGAAGGAGATGACAGTCGCCGGCTTCGTTGACTGGTTGAGGCAGGAGAAGCACGGAGTTGAAATTGTGCTCCGCGGGTCCAGTGCGGATGCTGGCTTTGCTACAAAAGGTAGTGAGACGAAGAGGGGTGTCAAAAGAAAAAAGGCGTATCGACATCTTAGTTGCGAAACCGTGGGTGGGCAGGAAATTGAAGAGGAGGTAGCTATGATGAGTGAGAGCGAGGAAGAGGAGAAGGCGCACAAGAGGCGCAGCTCATTGAATTTGAGGGGTCGGGCAGTACTGGCGCACCCGCCGTTTGAGGAGTCCTCAGATGATAGCGATAGTGTCTTTGGGGCTTGTTGACGGAGGGGCGGCCTGTAGTATTGAGTTGACGTTTTTGGCGTTGAAAAGCATGCTGAATATCTGGCGGACTTCAGGTTGAAGCTAGTGGTTCTTGAAGGTCTGGAAGTAGCAGTGCGCTGGACGAGTGAATCAATGCAACCCAAATATTTCCTTTGGAACACTTTGCAATCGTTCAACCATGAGAAACTCATGTGTAGGGTCGCATTCACAGTTGTTAGTGTGGGTTGAGGCATCGCCTTGGGACCTTGCTAATGCACTGCCCAGGAACCTCGAACACCTCATCATTCATGATCAACTAGTATTCAACACTCCTGTCGACTGTAAAATGGACGAATCCACAGTGTATGGTGCTATCCGGAACTGAATGCATAACTGGCGTGATGTCGCACCACTTTGACAGTCATTCGAGATCACTCTATAGCTTATCTTTGGAAAACTAAGACCGCGAAAACTCGGCATAAGCTGAAGGATCTCTGCATGCGAGTGGGCGTGGAGCATCATCAAGATAAAGGTTCTGACGCTGGCGACAAGGACTTGACGAACCGGCTGGATGGGAATGGTAGAGAAATGATGGGCTTCAAACTTTGAGCCACAGTGACCGACAAGTATCCGTGACATAAGATTAATCAAGATGCCTAGACAATGTGCACACTGATGGCCCGCAGTCTCAAACATTATTGAGCCTGCTCCTGTCATTTATAAGGCAATAAGTGTGCGTATAAGCAAGGTAGTAGCAGCAGTCTCACGACTCAAGACTACGTCTTTGACTCCCCCACTAGGTTCATCCTTTACGGACACCAAAGAGTCCGCCATGTACTCCTGCAGAATCATCAAGCGCAAAGAATTCAAGAATAGTATAACATAGCTAAGGATTATATATAAAGCAGGCGTATAATCGCGCTCTCTCCATTTCTTGCTCACTCCTGCTCAGCTTCGGCCATGGCTCCCATCCGGCGGGGAGGTACCTTCGCAGCAAACAAACGATCAATCTCATCAAAAGTCAACCCCTTCAGCTCCGGCACGTAGAAGAAGGCGCCGGCGGTGCCAATCAGGGAGAGACCGCCGAAGATGAAGCCAACTTTGCCGCGCAAATTGGCCTCGTCGGGGTTGACCATGTAGGGAATAGCAATGCTCATGACGATACCACAGATGGCTTGAGTGGCGGTGGCGAGAGAGATTGTCTTTGCGCGAAGCACCGTGCTTGAAGCCTCGCCAAGGATAGCGAAGGCCATGGCGCCAATTGTCAGGAAATAGACGTAGGCGTAGACAACCGTCGCGCCGGCTTGGACCCAGCCGGCACCGGAAGCAGGGACGACATCCATGATGCCGATCAAGATCAGCAGAACGGTAAGGGTACCCATACCCGAGAGGAAGACGATACGACGACCGAAACGCTCTACAACAAACCAAGACGTGATGTTGCCAGCGACACCACAAGCCGTGACACCGACACCGAGATCAAAGGACTTGCTGACGTCGAGACCGGCGAGCTGGAAGAAGTAGGTGGAGTAGCCGAGAACGAAGATGATACCAACGAGATGCTGGCAGAGGAAAACACCAGTCGAAATGCCGGTTCGAAGGCGGTTGGTACCACGGAAGCAGTCGACGAAGCTCTTCTCTGCCGACTTCTCGCGGGATTCCTCTTCAATTGTAGCCTCGAGTCCTGCCCACTGGCGCTCAGCATCGAAGTTTGGGCCGTAAAGTTTGCGAATGGCCCTTAGGCCCTCCTCTTTCTTACCCTTGCGGGCAAGGTACCATGGTGTTTCGGGGGCAAACGGCAGGAAAACGAGCAGGAACGCGACAAAGAAAAGCTGCGTGGCGAAAGGCCCACGGTAAGCCCAGCGACTAGTCCACTCGCCAAAGGCCTTGACCACTGCGTTGGACAGGAGCTGACCCAGGGCGATGCCCAAGTTGACACCAGCTGTAGCGTATCCACGAAGAGCTACCGGAGCGAGCTCACTGCAAGCAAGAGGTGCAAGAGTCAGGTAGAAGCCAAGACCGGCACCCAAAACAAGCTTGGAGACCAAGAAAGCGGCACGAGTATCCGATAGAAGTTCGCCGAGGATTCCGCCCGTGCAAATAGCGATACCAGCGTAGAGCGAGTTTCTGCGCCCGATGCGGTCGGCAAGCCAGCTGCACATGAAACCACCAAAGAATTGGCCCACCGTGCTGATCATGTTGAAGGCACTCTGCCAGTCGGCTGGGAGGATGGCTTCTCCATCAACAACGTATCCGAAGTCACGGCGAAAGGCAGCGACAGAAATCATGGCACCGTTGATTTGAGCATCGAATCCCCTGGGTAAGTAGAAGTTAGCTCCCCTGCTTGGGTCGTCGAAGTGTTCATCCACTCACCAGCCAATGGCACACATGGCCCAGTAGAAGCACCACCAAATGACCGCCTTGTGGTGCTTGAAGACAGTCTTGAGCGTGAGTTCATGTTCCTGTTGATTCGCCGATGTCGTCATGCCCTCTTTGGTATCGTGATGGGAGACAGTGGCGACGACGTTGGTCGTCTCGTTGTCGTCAATTTTATGCATTATTGGGATAGAATATGGCTAGAGGGAAGCTCTGCAGTTAGAAAATGAATGCCTTGATCAAAGTTAGAGGTCTGATTCCAGGGATGGATATGAATCAGAATAAGAGTGATGCCGAATTGTGGGATCAAGATGGTGGAAACTCAGGGAAGCCGCTGATGGTTTATATCCATAGATGCGTGGCATGATCGAACAATGTCGGCGACGCTCGGCTGTAGTATCAAGCTGGCAGAGCCGACTGCCGTCCAGCTCGCGCAACTAATTGCATGGCTCATTGATGGTGTTCAGCCTGGTAAATCAGAAGTTGGGGCCATCCTGGGGAAAAACCTGGACACATGGGGTCGGTTTACGAGCGACATTCCGCTTTGCGGGGGTGGAGAATGGCGTTCAATCGTTGTTTCTGGCCGCTCCAATGACTCGTGGGGTTCGTCCACAGGCTCGAATCAGTATCAGGTGATGGCACTAAACAATACTAGATTAGCCCCTCCAGCTGGGCTGGGAGTGTGATAAAGGCGACAGTCCGCGACCATCCTCTGGTTATCATCACTCGCACCTTCGCTCCCAGCCAGTTTGAGACCCAGTCCCAACCCCAGAACACAGCAGACCCATCAACACCCGATCCTTTCTCCTCGGGAAATACACCACACATTGTTCGAAGATGGAGTCCTCGGTCGGAGACTTGCCACACGATCCGAGGTCGGAAACCGCAGATCAGCCCACACAGCCCGCTCCGAGGACCCGCCCAGCACCCCGGGGAACTGCTTCATACCAGCGAAAACGCGCTGTCAAGGCATGTCAGGTCTGTCGCGCTCGGCGAACCAAGTGCGATAATCTTAAGCCGTCCTGTTCGTTCTGCCTGAAAGTTGGGGCAAAATGTATCCAGTCTCCGGTGGACCTGTCAAGCTTCGACCCAGCAAGTCTCAAAATTCTGGAGAGACTGGACGACTTGGAGGAGCTCATGCGATCTGTATCTGTCCAAACTACTGAGTTGCCCCACAAGATTCGGGCCGTCGACACCTCGCAACCAAGCATCAGGCCATCCGAAGCAACAGACTCGTTACGTGATGTCAACGAGCAACAAGCAACAGCGTTGCCATTGAGCATAGACACGATCATACCCCCACCACCCGGTCGTATCATCCCGATGGAGCTTTTCAGCCGCAAGCTCAGCCCGGAACAAGAGCATCATAGTCTTCTACATCCGGACCAGACAGTTGTCTCCGCGATATCTCCAGCCTCCACAATGGGTATCCTGGACATGGAGCCTAGGCGGGTGAACGACCTTCTCGACAGCTTTTTCAGTTTTGTCCATGTCAAAAACCCCATTCTGGACGAGACATCCACGCGACATATGGTGCTCTCAACCATAATGAACGGAGTAGACTGGTCACCCGAGTCCTGCCTTGCCCTCCTCGTCTGCGCCCTTGGGTCTCTATCCACCTCCTTCGGACCAAGTCACGATGCAATGCCGGGAACCATTGCCTACAATAACGCCATGGCTTTCTTCCAGGCAGCGCAGAAGCGCCTTGGCCTTCTCATTTCGTCAGACGAGTTGATAGGGCCGCAATGCCTCTTTCTCGCGGGCGTATTTATGATGTGTGTTTTCCAGCCACTCAAGGCATGGCGTTATTTCCTTCAAGCCCTTGCTGGCTGCCAGCAGCTTCCGTTTCTAGCACAAGAGAATCAGGAGAAATATCACGGCATCTCAGACGGAAGTCATCCTCAGGATCACGCCATTGACACCCTTCAGCAGGCCGTCTACTGGTCGGCCTGGAAGTCGGAAAGGGAGGTCCGCAGTACCAATTACATGCCCGACTTCGTCAACGATATGAGCACCAACATTTACCCGCCATTCTTCCCCACACCGCCAGCACCAAGGACGGAGCTTGACACATCGGCTGACCCCCGCCGTGAGCGCGAGCAAATTTCGTGGTATTTTTACCTTGCCGAAATATCTCTCCGAAGACTCACTGCTCGCATGAGCGCCGGCATGATGGAACTGCAGGCCCAGCACGAGAATCAGCAATCATTCCTTGCAGCTATGGCAGCTGTTGTGCCGGAACACGAGGCGCAAGTCAACTCGTGGATTTCCTCCCTGCCTCCGAACCTGTCCTTCGAGGCGCCCCCTGAGGAAGACGACGTCTGTCGTTTTGTGCTGCGGGGCCACGCTATCAATTTGTTTGAACTCATTTACTGGCCTTTCATTTCCGCATACCTGACATGTGAAGACTTGAGCCGCAGCTTTGCGTCCACCTCATCTAACATCGCCCACTACGCCGAACGATCCCTCCATTATCATCTCGTGCGATTGACGTTGAACAAGCCTGGGTATAGACACAGACACCACGGCACAAACCCGATGATGCAGACCTGTTCACGCAGCGCTCTGGTCCTGCTGGGCGCTTCCATCAAGTCTGAGACAACGAGGGCGCAAGGCACCGATCGCGGAGGTACGACTGTGACCCTGCCACAGGGCTGGCAGGAGGGAATCGATGACATTGTCGACCTCCTTGACTACTGGGGCAATGAGACGAGGGACTTCGGCAAGATCCGAACGGTACTGGACCAAGGCCGCATGCCTGCTAACGGCTCGGCCTCCTGGACTTATGCTCCGCAGACATACATGTAAAAGTAGATGACAGACCCGCCAGAATGATCGTGGCTTGCCCAGCAGGAAACTGGATGTTCAGCCTGAATGCAATCTTAAGGATGCTTTGCAACATGGTTGAGTCCGTGCAGAACTAAGGCTTGCGTCGCGGAAGATCGCTCTGTCCGATGGAGAACCATTAAAGCAAAGGCGCAGACTGGCTGGAATCAATACTCCGCAAGGTGACGCTCCTGTAGGCTGTGCCTCGCAGGCTAGTCATTCCATCCCTTTCCCCGGAATATTACCCCAGACCCTGCATGACTAGAGCCGAGACTGTTGTAGCCGTGGAAGCCCGCAGCTGGTCATGGGGTGGATGATGATCCACATCTTCGCGGAATGTCGCACTTAAGCCAGCACATGGGATCCTCGGCCTTGTGCGTGATTCTCATCACAATGGGAGCCCAACGATAATTCTGACGAGAGGAGGTCGGCCATAGCCAAAACCCTTTAGTGGGTATGATCATCTGTTCACCGAGATATAAAGCGTTCTTCTCATTTTCATCTTCATTCCCAGTTCATCAAACAGCACCGCCCCCTAACATACTTCAAGTGCTTCTTCACTCTCCATTATATGCTCCCTTCCGTGCCAACATGTCCACTACCACACAGACCATCGCGCGGGAGGCGCCAGCAACAGGGCTCCTTGGGCTCAAGACCAACAGTGTCCACCCACCATGCACCATGCTTCGCGTCAGTGGCACGAACATTGTCAACGCGGCAGGCGAACAGGTCGTTCTCAAGGGCGCTGGTCTTGGCGGCATGCTGAACATGGAGAACTTCATCACAGGCTACTCTGGCCATGAGCATGAGCATCGCGCTGCACTGGCAGAGGTTCTCGGCAAAGAGAAGGCCGAGTTCTTCTTCTCTCGGCTTATTCACCACTTTTTCACTGAAGCAGATGCCGCACTCTTCGCGTCGCTAGGCGTGAACTGTCTGCGCATCCCCTTCAACTACCGCCACTTCATGGATGATGACAATCCTAGCGTCATCAAGCAGGAGGGATTTGCCCTGCTCGACCGTATTGTTGACATCTGCGCGCGTCACAATATTTACGTCATCCTCGACTTGCACGCCGTTCCAGGTGGTCAAAACCAAGACTGGCACAGCGACTCCGGCTTGAGTCGCGCTTTGTTCTGGGAGTTTCGAGACTTCCAGGATCGTGCCATCCAGCTCTGGGAGGCTCTGGCAAAACATTACGCTGGCAACCCTGTTATTGCGGGATACAATCCTCTCAATGAACCCGCAGACCCGCAGCACACCCGCCTTCAGGCCTGGTACGAGCGCGCCGAGGAGGCCATCCGCGCCATTGACCCCGAGCACATTCTTTTCGTTGACGGAAACACCTACGCCATGGACTTCCGCGCTTTTAACCCTGAGAAACCTCTGCCCAACACCGTCTACAGCTGTCACGATTACAGCATGATGGGCTTCCCTCTGCCCGAGCAGTATGAAGGCACAGAGGAACAAAAGTCCAAGCTGCGCTCAAGCTTCAACCGCAAGGTCGAGTTTATGCGCCAAGCCGGCGTGCCGATCTGGAACGGGGAATTTGGCCCTGTGTACCAGAATCCAAGAATCGATCCTGACGCCGCCGTCACCAATGCCAAGCGTTTCGCCCTGCTGAAAGAGCAACTGTCCATCTATCGTGAATGTGGCGGTGTGTCGTGGAGTATTTGGCTCTACAAGGATATCGGCTACCAGGGTATGGTGTACCTCGACCCCGAGAGCCCGTATATGCGCCTCATCCAACCCTTCGTCGAGAAGAAGCAGAGGCTCGGTCTTGATTTCTGGGGCGTTGTCGACAAGAGCGGTGTCGATGGTGACGTCTATGGCCCTTTCATTTCTAAGCTCAAGGCTATGATCCCGGAGCATCTGCACAAAAAGAAGTACCCCAATATCTGGACCTTTGACCGCCAGGTCGAGAGGACTGTGCGGGAGCTGCTGATGAGTGAATACCTCGGCTACGAATTTGCGGAGTTATTCAAAGATAAGACCGAGGAAGAGCTGGAGGAGCTGGCTGCCAGCTTTGCGATTGAGAACTGCAAGACGAGAGATGAACTCAACGACATCCTGAGAGCGGATGCTACACAGCCTACTACAAGCAGGGCATAATTACTCGCTGTGGCAGCGGAAATGAACAATTTTGCACAGTCATCTCCTGCCAGCCTGATACTTGGATTAGCATGCATCGCCATGGGGGGACTTTGGGAACATTTTCATACTGTCAAATCTGATTTAGAGTACTGCCAAACTTCGTGCTGAGCGTCTGCACATGGCATGGTTCCATCAGTGAAAGTCCTGCACTCACATTGGCAGGGTAATGGAGCTGAGGTTTATGCCAGGACTCATAGGTGACCTTAAATCTCACCACGAGTGGATGACCTTGAGTTATGCTGAGCGCACGATTAGGCAAAGATTTGATGACATGTGTGTTTGTGGGTCATAGTACTCTATGTGGTTTTGGCAGATGTTGTCGTTCTGAGCAAACAGGACCAGTGAATGCAACCCACTGACCAACTACCTGAGCGTTGAATCTGTAATATGCTGACCCGAGCGATTCGTTTCATTCCCAACACGGTGGAGAGACTCTAAAGGAGGCCTCAATTAAGAACGATATCATAGACATTAATCGCCTGACATTGATTCATGGCTTCGTCACATAACCGTTCTCTACATGACATTATTTAAAACACCAGCCAACACATCGCAACCACATTGTGTTTAGATAATGGGCTTATTCGTCGCGGCACCTTGATGGTTCCTCGATACTCAACATATTGCGCATCCCATTCTATGTTTACAACAAAGCATCACCAACATAGCCGGTTTCGTAGTGTATTGCGGCGAATGCAGATACTGCAAGCAAAACTTGACGATGGCCTGTGAGAAGACCAATGCCTCTGCCCTTCACGAACAGTTGTATGGCTCGCAGTTGGGCGGCATCTTTGGTTATTCCTACTTCACTGGTGGTTACGCTGACGGTCATGCCGAGTACGTGCGGGTGCCGCCGGCCAACAACAAATTGCTGAAGATTCCCAATTCTCTTCCCAACGATAAGGGTAATGGACCACACCAGATGATCCAATTAACCTAGTGCTAACACCCGTAGGTATCTACTTGTCGTACGTTCTCCATACTTCCTACCACAGCGTCGTTTACTCTAGGGTCAAAGAAGGTGATAATGCTGCCATCTGGGGCCTTGGCCCAATCAGCCTGATGGCAAGTGCTTGGACCTACGTCAGGGGTGACAAGCAGGTCATCGGAATTGACAGCAACTGGCGATGTGCTTATGCCGAGTCAAAGATCCCAGGCCTCAAAACGATCAATTTCAGACACTTGAAGGCTACAGGGACTGTGCCCGCCAAGGTCCATGAGATTTTGCCGGGAGGTGCCAACGTCAGCATTGATGCGACGGGCGGAGAGTATGGCAAAGGATGGGCGCATTCTTTGGAGTTGGCAGTTGGCACCGAGCAAGACACAAGCTAGATGATTGACGAGGCCATCATGTCGACTCAGAAGTTCGGTGCTGTAGGACTTATCGGCGGCTACGTCGGATGTAAGTCCTTACAATACGTAGTTCGACGACCTTGTTGACACTTTGCACAGTCACCAAACACTTCAACGTCGGGTCGCTGATGGAGCGCGGCATCCGCTTGGTCGGCTGTGGTCAGGCTCCGGTTCAGAAGTGCAAGTCATATTGATCCGATTTCTCCTAGAAGTTTACCCAGAGCCCATCGCTAACCTGAGCAATCCTTAGACTGGGATGAGATTCTTGAGATGGTGGAGAAGGAGAAGATTGACCCCACGATCATGCTCACGCATCGTTTCAAGTTTGACGACATCACCAAAGCCTACCACAAGCAGGAGAAGCGGGAAATGGGATTGGTGAAATGCTTCGTCGAGACCAAGTTCTCAACCCCCGCTGCAGCAGGCACGCCGGCGCTGACTACAATCTGAGGCTGCCAGGACTGGCAGATAGATTCTCGTTGAGGATTGTCCCGCACTCCGTAGCAAGAAAAATATAATTTCACTTTGGAGACACAAACGAAAGGTGTCGTTGAATGAGACTTCGCATTAAGGAGACGTATTCACAAAGTCGGATCACTATCCCCTCAATACCAAGAGTCCTTCCGCATTTACTGCAAGCGAAGTCGTCAACACAAAAACGCCATCTCCAGTAAATTAGATGACAGATGCAAAGCAATACGTGATTTGCTAATGAAGCTCCAAACAACCACGGTTGCGGAGCTACCCCTCCCTCGCGTTACTTTCAATTTGGGCTCTAACGTGCACGAGAGAGCTTCGTAGCTGCCACGTCATGCTGACGATGACTGAATACAACGTTAAGGAGCCAAGATTGTTCCCGAACCCGAAGGTATGTTATCATACGATACAACCATGGTCGCATCGAAATTTGTTGACGGCAGCATTGGGTCATTATGAGGGGCCCTCTATTGTCGCCACAATCTCAAACTCTCGAGCCTATATATCCAGCCAATACTATCCGGCCTGGCCGGGGTTAATTTTCCTTTCAGCGGCACCATTGTGCTACGACATTCACGCCCCAGCAACCATTTACAACCATCAGTCAGCATGTTCAAACAAACGATTCGAGCGGGCCCTCGGCAGGCTGCACCCGCAATGCGCATGGTGAGGTCGTCGAGATCGTACGCTACGACTGGAGGCAACGACGCTGCCGAATCCAAGGCAGACACTGGGCCATTCAAATCCACATGGGTGTAAGCCAAATAACGATTATCAATTGAGTTTTCTTTGGCTGACCAATCTTAAGATTAACCGGCGGCGGTACAGCCCTTGTTGGAGGCGTGTTAGCCACGATGATGGGTAGCCCGGATGCAACCGTCGCTGCTGCGAAGAATGCAGACCCCGAAGGGCAATATGAGGCCACCCAACCAAACAAAGACTTGATCGCAGTTCAAAAGTATCAGACGTTCAATCTGAGAGATTTCAGCATGGCAGTGGTCTTCTCAAATCGTGTCACCCAGTTGCGACGGAATGGAGGCGATATGCGCGGCATTTACGGGGGGTCCAGGCACAAGGCTCACGGAATTTGGACGGTCATGGGTCAGAACAATGTGACATCAAAACTGGATAAAAATTTAAACTTATAAACTTTCGGAAGAAGAAAAAGACCGACCCATCAAAGTGTGGATGCTATCTTCTAAAGGTCAAAGCGGTCAAGGTTCATGACCTTAACCCAAGCCTTAACAAAGTCCCTGACAAATTTCTCAGCGGCGTCAGCGCTGCCGTACACCTCAGAAACGGCGCGGAGCTCTGCGTGAGAACCGAAAACGAGGTCGGCGCGCGTGGCGGTCCACTTGGTGGCACCGGTGGCACGGTCCTTGCCAGTCCAGACCTCGGAGCTGCTGTCGGGAGTCCAGTTGGTGCGGATGTCAAGGAGGTTGACAAAGTAGTCGTTAGTCAGGCGGCCGACCTTGGACGTCAGAACACCCTTCTTGGAGCCGTCAAAGTTGGCGCCCAGAACGCGGAGGCCGCCGACGAGAACAGCGAGCTCGGGAGGGCTGAGCTTGAGCTGAGAGGCCTTGTCAACAAGGATCTCCTCGGCGCGGGCGCGGGCCGTGCTCTGGCCGTAGTTGCGGAAGCCGTCGGCCGCGGGCTGAAGGTGGCCGAAGGATGTGACGTCGGTCTGGTCCTGAGTGGCATCGACACGACCAGGGGCAAAGGGAACGACAATGTTGAACCCGGCATCCCTGGCGGCCTTCTCGACGGCGGCAGTACCACCGAGGACGATGAGATCAGCGAGAGAGACGCTCTTGCCGTTGCGGTTGAACCTGCTCTGGATGCCCTTGAGGGCAGTGAGGACCTTGGTCAGCTGAGCGGGGTTGTTAACGGCCCAACTGCGCTGGGGCTCGAGAGCGATGCGGCCACCGTTGGCACCACCACGCTTGTCTGAGTTGCGGTAGGTTGAGGCGGAGCCCCAGGCAACAGTCACGAGGTTGGAGACGGTCAGGCCTGAAGTGGAAAGAATAGTCTTCTTCAGCGAGGCGACATCGGCGTCGTAGATGGGGCTGCCCTTGGCGGCAGGGAGAGGGTCCTGCCAGATGAGCTGTTCCTTAGGCACCTCAGGGCCGAGGTAGCGAGAACGAGGTCCCATGTCACGGTGCAGAAGCTTGAACCAGGCACGAGCGAAGGCGTCGGCGAGCTCCTCGGGGTGGTCGACCCAGCGCTTGCAAATCTTCAGGTACGAGGGGTCGTTGATGAGAGCAAGATCGCTAGTGAGCATAGTGGCAGGGCGGAACTTCGTCTTGTCGAATGGGTCGGGGTAGTCGATGGTTCCGTTAATAGCTTGCCACTGCTTGGAGCCGGCAGGGCTCTCAACAAGCTCCCACTGGTTGTTCAACAGACTGAGAAGGTAGCCGTTGCTCCACCTAGAAAAATACCCGTCAGTAAAAATCGGGCAAATTGACTCTGGAGATGCTTACTTGGTGGGAGTCTTGGTCCAGATGACCTCCAGGCCACTGGTCATGGTGTCGGGGCCGTTTCCGTTGTTGACGCGGTTGTGCCAGCCGAGGCCCATTCCCATATCGTTGGCCTCAGGCTCGGGGCCGATGTTCTCTGGATGGGCATGTTAGCTCTGGAGAGATGGAGCCGGATCAAGAACTTAGAACATACCACCCTTTACAGCGCCGTGGGTCTTGCCAAAGGCGTGTCCACCGGCAATGAGAGCGACAGTCTCCTCATCGTTCATACCCATGCGGTCGAAAGCCACACGGATATCGAGAGCAGAGTCGGCGGGGATCGAGTTGCCGTTAGGTCCCTCGGGGTTGACATAGATCAGGCCCATGTGAGTGGCAGCGAGCGGCTTCTCGAGGTGCTCAGCGCGCTCACGAACATCGGTGCTACCGTTGTAACGGACATCGTTACCCTGAGGAACGAAGGCGGTCTCGGCACCCCAGTAGATGCCTTCGTCGGACTGCCAGGTGTCGGGACGACCACCAGCAAAGCCGAAGGGCTTAAAGTCCATGGACTCAAGAGCCACGTTGCCAGTGAGAAGCATGAGGTCAGCCCACGAGATCTTGTTGCCATACTTCTGCTTGATGGGCCCTGCAGACAGAGGTCAGCTTTCGGTGACTTCGGAAATGGCTTTGAGAGTAGAACTCGTGTTGGACTTACAAAGCAGTCGACGAGCCTTGTCGAGGTTCTGGTTATCAGGCCAGCTGTTGAGGGGCGCGAAACGCTGTTGGCCCTATTTCCAGTCTCACGTTAGCTGCCGATGTTGGCTGACGGATGACGGGAGCGAGGCGCCGCCACTTACCATGCCACCACCACCGCGGCCATCGAGAGCGCGGTAGGTACCGGCGCTGTGCCAAGCCATGCGGATGAAGAAGCCACCATAGTGACCAAAGTCAGCTGGCCACCAGTCCTGAGAATCCGTCATGAGCGTGAGCAGATCCTTCTTCAGCGCGGCGTCTGAGATGATTTCACGTCAGCATGCGCCACAACTAGCGAAAGGTTGGTTGCACACAGCCTCTAATGAGGCTATGAAGCTTTTTCTCTAGGAGATGAGAATAAACTCACAGTCCAGGGTCTTGAAAGCCTCGGTGTAGTCAAAGTCGCCGCCTTCAGGGTTGATCTCTGAGGAGAACTGGCGCAGGATATCAAGCCTCAGTTGGCAAGGCCACCAGTCACTGCTCCTGGTGCCACCACCAGCAACGTTGCTCTGGACGGCGCATCGTCCAAAGTTGGGGATGGCGTTGCTCTGCCTCTTGTCGAGAGTCTCGGAGGAGTCCTCGCGCTTGGAGAAGGGACAGGTGCCGGCAGCGTTGACGATAGGCAGGGCTGTCAGGAGACAGCCAGCTAGAGTGGAGTACAACATGCTGGGGGAGGAAACAGAAGGACTTGAGAAGGTCAATGACGATCCTCCAGATAGCGTTCAAGTGCTGCTGGTCCGAGACAGGTGAGAGACACGGTGCTGGGTCCGATGTCTTTCTTGTCCCGGCGGGAGATCATCAGGGTCCTCTTATAGTAAAAGACAACGGAAAGGCGGAATTCTCGCAGCAGCCTGATCTGACATACAGTTCCGGGCGTGGGGCTTGGCCCGATGGGATGAGGTCAGGATCCTTGCGTGGGGCAACATGTGGGAGAGGTGAGGATTTGCGGTCACAGCCGATCGCCAACCCTCCTCTGGAGAAGGAGTTGCAGAGGACCTACCATACCGGGAGGTTGCATGTGGGACGAACATGGTGTATCGAGCTCTGGTGGGCCTCTCTACATGCTGCTCCAGGCTTGGGGCCTTAGAGACCCTGTCATCACGTTGCATGCAAAGCCTGTAAGCGCCTGGGTCACAGCATTCAAGATGGCGCGCTCCGGCGGGGAGAGTTTGCTGGGTTAAGATTATCAGGATCAAATCATATGATGCGCGATACTGCGAGGCCACGGATCGGCTGACTTGCATTACACTGGCCCAACTAGCTACCCAGACCCTCTCGTAGACAAAGCACCAAGACGGGGCGGCCAAAGACATAGGCCAGCCGGGCCCGGCGACCAATCGCAGGTCGTTCATTCTCAATTCCGGCATTTACATTCGGGGTCGGATTCTATCCCGGCAGTTTCCAGGCGTGGACCAGAATCGGGATGCGACTATAATAAACTTTCCAGCGAACCCGCAATTTGAGCAGACACACACATCAGGCAGGTGGTTCCTTGCATGCAGCTCTCCTCGCACTGATTCTAGGCCCAACGTCATGTAGCCCCCTTTCGATGCAGATTCCTGGCTGACGTACACAGCTTCAAAGTGGTTAGACAGAGACACGTGGGTGGGGCGGTAGGGGGGCTGAGCGAACGCGCGAGTCTCCCTTCTGGACTGTCTTCCCTGCTCCCTCACCACAACAAACAAGCTTATGAAGAAGACAGGGGACTTCCTAGACAGCTTATCAAGCAGGTTTCTGGCATTGGAGGGAGCGCGGGCCGCTTGCGGGTTGGTTAGGCGGCGAAACGGCAGTCATCCACACTTTCTTTGTGCGACCTGCTGGCTGTAGGGCGGGGAACATGTGGATTGACAGACAAGAGATGTGACGCATGAACGAATTGAGATCGTCTTAATGTCGCATTTTGTCGAAACGAGGTCGGTCTGGGCATTCTCGCCAGGGATCTCAGCCCATGCTCTCAGCATATGGCATCACAGATCATCGAGCGCGCGAGCAGTGAAGAGCACAACAGCGACCAACAAGCACATGCATGGCTGAGCTCACCGAGCTTCCTCCTCATCCGATCTTCGCCTGCTTGTAGCTCGTTCCGACTCAGAGCTACGGCAGTGTGTGCGCACTGAAAACCTGGGGTTTGCCGTCCGTGCCGCGTCCCGCCCATCGGCAACAGAAGCTGGCTTGACTCCAAAACGGATATTATACCCTCTGAGCTGATACTTTCCAGTTGCCTAAGCCACTAAGCGAGGTACGTAGCGTCTCTTAACTCCGGCAGTCTAGGCAATAGACAAGGCCAAGCCCGGCACAAGGCCGCGTTGAGAAGGCACTCCATTGTCGGCTTGATCGGTTTCCCGTCGCGTGTAGCATCCGGCCAGATTTTTGCCCCGACTTGACTTCTGTGACAACATGGGCCTTCACTGGGGTATAGCCAGTGCTGTTCAATATGAGCACGACGAGATATTTACCAGGGCGTTTGAACTTACCTGAGTCGAGTCAGAAGGCGGCTTGGCCATGACTGGGGCACGCATCGGCCGGACACCTGACTTATCACAAGTTCTGCGATTCCAATCACTTGCCCAAAGCGGCCGCAGTCCCCTGTTCATGAGCTGTTTGTCATGGCATCCTCGAGAGACAGTCGCGACATGTTCGGCCTTGTCACCAACGGATTGGCTGCTCACAGATACTGCAATGCAAAGCGCTGCCAAGCAACAAAACCCCCCCAATGTCCCAAGAAATCAGATATGCATGCAGGTGCGGCGCAGGTCGCCACACCCGAAATAGAAGTCCTGGCGTCTTGGCATGGACGAGGAAAAACACAAATACCCGTCGCTGGGTCGGTGAGCGCGGAGGAAACGCTCAGACTCACCATGCTACAGCGCTTAATCGTCGCAGGTGATTGGGATCACGATACAAATCACAACGTGATAACATCCAACAGACAAGATGCAGATCTCTGGTCTGTTCCTGAAATAAATCCTACATTCAGACTATCGGGATTTATCGTATGATGGCCAAGCTCTTTGATGGCGTCCACGCGCGGCGTCCATCCTAGCCTCGCAACGGCGGCCGCATCAATCTAGGCCATGTCAACCTCAACCTAAATCCAACTGCACGGCTCGCCAGTTCCAAGCGACGCCTGCAGCTTACCATGCACCTGCCACGCAATCTACGAGGATGCAAATCTGCGCATGCAGTCATGCAGCGAACCCCCTCTTTCGGAAGAGATTGCGAATTCACCAACTGGGCCAGGTGCACGGCGGCGCCCGCTGGCAGAGAACTTGCCAAGCACCGTCGGTTTCTGCTCAAGGTCCACGACGTCGCGCGACAACATGGGCATGAATACATGGCCCATGGCAGACAGGTCATGACGAGAAGGTCCTCACCAAAGGGGGTTTCGTTTCGATTTGAGAGCTCCGGCGGCCACAAACAGCATGGCTCCTTCGGCACTGACTCGACGGCAGTCATCAAGGTCAAAGTCACGATCCTCGGACTCTCGCGGACCCGATTTGGTTTCGAATGGGGGAGTATAGGCGCCTCTCACCTGTTACCATACCACTGCTAATAGAGGCAAGAGGAAAAGGTGGTATTCTTCTTGTCGCATCTGGACGCTTCCAAAAGAACAGCATACTTGTCAAAGACATTATTCGCTGTGCCGCACAATCACCCTGCGTTGTGATGCTCATTGACTATCTTTTTCATGATTCATTGTTGCTTTCCTTCATGACAGCTTGCTGATACACATTCAGACTGCCCACAAATCCCGACTCGCCATGACAAGCTGCTTGTCTGGAAAGAACACGACGAAAACCGCACCAATGACACCAAAACAGTCATCCATTCCCTTACGTACAGTTCCAGGACGCATAATATCCAAGGCATCAATAGAAAGTTCTGAACATGGATGCTCCATCCTTCAAACCCCTACTCATCGCCAGTGGCGTACTCGCCCGCCGCAATCTTCTTGCTCAGAGCCACGTCTTTCTCAAAGTAGCGGCGGAGGTCCTTGCGCTTCTTCAGCAGCAGGTCGACCACCAGGCGGCCAAAGACCTTTTCGCCGGATGGGTTGAGGTGTGTCCTGTCTCCGGACGAGAGGTTGTAGAGGTCAGCGTTGGCCTTTCCGATGGCATTGACATACGCCGTGCTGGCCTTGTTGAGGTCGAGGTAGTCAATACCGAGGTTTTCGGCAGCGGCGATGGCGGCGGCGCTGTGCTCGTTCAGGTTCTCAATGACGGCACTTCCGTTGAAGGCGCGGCGCGTCAATGAGGTGATGAGGATCTGGCATTGCATAGGTCAGTACGGGAGATCATGTCCAAAGTTTGGCATGGGCGGACACTTACGGGTGTGCCGCCGGCAGCGATGACCTCTTTGGCGAGGGCCACGAGGTTGGCCTGGAACTTCTCCAGAGAGATGCCCGACGTGGCCTTCTGGTCGTTGTGACCGAACTGAATGGTGACAATGGGGGAGTGGGTGTCGACGTTCCCCTGGACGGCGGTGATGGTCGTGTTCCAACGGCCATCGGCCCTGAACGAGGCGGTCGTCGCGCCGCTCTTCGCAGGGTTGATGCCGTCTGCGGGGGCCTTCACGTAAGACAGGAAGCCATCGCCCCAGCCTCCGGCGACGGCAACTGTCGAGTCGCCAGTGAGGACAAAGTAGGGAGGCTTGGCCGCCTTCTTCGGCCTGGCATCGACGGGCGCCAGGGCGGTGAGTGCAAGGATGAGGCTGAGGAACTTCATGATGACGGGCGCTGACGCGGGGCAGTGTACCGGCTGTGTGGGTTTGTCTCTTGGAAGTGGAGTGCGTGGAGGCCTGGCATCACGATCCTCCGTTTGCAGCCGCGTGATACGCCTTATATGTCCCGTAAATCGCTATTCCCACATGTTGAGGACATCATCGTGTCTTCAAATCACGTATGAACAAGAGCTCGCCCTCTGCTCTCCCGCCACGATGCCTTAGGGCCGAGTGGCATCTCTGACGTGCTCAGGAGAGGAACTTCCACGAATCAAGGATTCATCGCAACGTGGCGGGTCCTCGCCGGGGATGCAGCAAGCTTGATGGGGATCCGGGGTAAAGCACAAACTTTGACTAGCTTTGCTCGTCGGAGCCGGAATTTCGACCTAGCGGCTCGAGAACATGGCCCTGATATGGCCATCTGGCCACCTAGATGGGTGTTTGCTGTCCGCAATCTCGGCAAAGATGCCTAGCGACGGACGAGGGGAAGCGCGAACACATGAATCGATCATCAGATCGCAAAGATGGGCGGTCCAGTGGAAGTACAAATTGCGGGGGAAGCCATCCCAAAATGCCTTCTCGCAGCTCTCCCCTCAACTACAAGCGCTTCGAAATGGCTGTGATCAGCACGACAGATGGTCCCTCGGCAGATCTTCTTAGCGAAGGCCGAACCCCCATCGGGGCTGCGGAGCCGATTGAATTGGGGAGCTTTCGTAGATTTGGAGAAGGCAAAGGCGCAGGTACCCTTGGTTCCTTTATGTCCAAGTGTCAACGAATGCCGAGCACCTTGTGCAGCCCAGCGGGCATTGATGATGGGGGCCAGGCTTGGCTCTGACGCTTCTCCAGCACGAAGTCTGCCCTAGCATGACAAGCTGTCGCGTGCCCTGGTTTGTGTTCCAACCTTACATCTCCCCGCACGGCTTCGCAAGAACCTAAAATGACGATCAAAGCGCGCAGTGCAGCGGGAAGAACAGGAAGGTTGCAATGCGAATGAGCGAATGAACTACTTGGCAAGGGACGTAAGTCAAGGGCGATGGCAATGATGTCCACACGCTCCAACCGAGCGGGGCGACAAGCCCGGCCGGTTAGGCCGAGGTTCGTGTTCGGTTTCTGGCGTCCTGTCTTCTACGAACCGGCCGGGAGCAAAATAGCTCCGACAAGATTCAATTTTCCAGGGAAAGTCGTCTCTGGCATAATCGGCAGTGGTGAAGTGGCTATATCCCTCTCGGGCCAAATGCAGACACGGAGAAGAGTCTCCTTGTAAGTTTCTCATTGCTATGCGCGCAAACTCACTCGCCGAGCTCTCCGTCAACGCGCCACCGCTAGAGGCCTTCAGCACCATTTTTCACAAGTTACGCGGTGTCGCCCGATCCACCTCTCGACTTCTCCTTGAAGACCTTGCCTCGGCTTCAAGAAAGAGACTAGTCTCGCACTGAAGGTGTTGTTCCCCTCAAAGCCCTCTGTCCAGGGGTAGTGCGAGCGCCCCTAGAACGATTTCGCGCGAGGACTATAGTTTCTACAATCATGTAAAGCCGTCCAATAAGCCTAGTCACGTTTCCTGTGAAGAACGAGGGAAAGCTGAACTGGCAATTAGAAACATACGACTAGACACACAGGTACGATGCTGCCGCAGCCGTAATAGTAGTTCCTCATTCAGGCTGATCATTGCCATCCCTGTCGTCACGGAATTTGAATTTTTTTTTATCATCCCTCCTCGCAATCTTTCAGATCGAGTAGTCCATTAACTCCTGAATCACGTTGCCCCTTGCTACAAATTGACCCAGGCTTTCCGTCGGTAAATATTGCATTGCTGCTAAACAAGGTTTTCTAAGCGAATGTCAACTTGTCCATCAACTCAAGTCCGGCGCACCCATATCAGCTGCGGCTTAGCCCAAGCTCCAACATTGGCAGGTGAATCACACAACTATAATACAAGTTCCTCTCAGATACGTTGCGGAGGTCGCGCATGACGTTCCGAACGGTGAACCACTACGTCTTCTTGGGTTGCTTGTAGGTGCCAATTTTGACGCCATCCTTGAAGCGACCGATGATATTGCCGCGAGGGAAGTATTCGCAAGCGAGGTACCAGCCTTTAATACTCGCGCCGCTGGTGCAGTACTTCCTGGCGCACCCGACCTTTTGCGTATCTCTCCAGACCATCTGGGTGAAATGCCCGGTGGCTGAGGAGAAGACAGCCTTTTGAAAGTCGTACTTTGCACGCTCATCGCCCCAAGCTTTGGCGGCTGCTGTAGGTGTTCCGTACCCAATGGCCAGGTTCTCTCCGTACTGGCCGCCGGAGTGGGCGAATGGAGGGCACTGGTTCTTGCCTGTGCCCTTGCTGTCGAGATATTTTTTAGCGGCAGTGGCCAGAGTGGCGTCCCATTTGAGGTCGACGCCCCATTTCAGAGGGGCGCCTTGGTGTTGGCGACGGTACTGGTTGTGTGTTGTGAGAATGGCAGCGTTGAACTGGCTGTCCGACACCCACTCGGGCCGAGTCGTAATATCGGTCTGGCGGGTGTCAACGGCTGCTGCGTTGCAGCCCTGGAGGCCAGCTGCCAGGGTCAACAGAAACATGGTGATCTGCATCTTGATGGTTTTGATGTTGTGGAATTGTATGTACGATGGTCTGCAAGTGTGAAGTATGTAGGGTAGGAAAGGAGAAAGTCTGATGGGTTGCTGAGGAACAGGACATTCTTCCGACGAGATGCTGTGTCAATATATAAGCCATCGAGTATGTGAGGGATTCTGTCAGGCACGTTTCGTGATGTCTAGGACCCTAGAGTGTAGTGGGATGCGGACTCGTGGCGGCTGAATCACATTCCTGCAAACGGATTGCGGGGACCCTGAACAGCAACTGGAGCGGCGTTTGCATGGAGGCGTTCCCTCACCCCCTTCTCAACCATGCTATTGTCTAGAGCGAACGAGTTGAAATCATGACGCGCGGGGCGGTGACCTTCACGTGCAACCTGGACCATCCTTCAACTTCACGAGGACCATGGGATCTGTGACTCCGAAGCCACAGCATCACTTTGTCGATCACGAACCCAAATATGCTCCATTCAGTAAGAGGTTTCAACGATTTGCAGTTTCAATGACCCAGCTGACGCTGTGTACCGATCTCATCGCATACGTCGAAGCGGTTGGACATGACAAAGTGGGTAACTCAATGACGATGAGGTAGGACGCTTACAGACCGGCTTGAAGCTTATGATGATATTTTCCTTGGTCAGAACAGTAGTCATCACTACTTTACTGATCCAGGAATGACAAAGTATCATACTCTAATTCGGCCTGGATTGACAACTTACCATGCATGTGCTGATGAGGTTCACCGAAGCGACACAAGTGTATCTGACCTGAACCCACTTCGTCGCGCCAGAGCTCGTGTAACGATGTAATTCATGTCTGTCCTCAAATTTCTTTTGCTTCAGTTCTCAGAAAACACTCTGCATTGTGATACGCGAGAGTATTTCCCTGCATCTCATTGTTGGCTGCCACGAGGTACCATTCTGAGTGGGACTACCTTTCCCAATTTTTTGTCATGCACGCGTCTCAACGGCGCGAAATGGTAACGAGTTTGGCAGTCATTAGTGCCCGCCGTGTCAGAGTGTCTCACACGTGGTGGCGAAATCTAGAGTCCTGTTCCTGATGGGGGTCCGGGACGAGTGTCATGAACTCCTGATTCCTTCACTTCGTGACATGGCCGTTTTCATCCGTTTATTGCGCATGTCTTAGAACAAGCTCTGGCGTGGCTGACTACATGTCGTTTTGTTCATCGAACCTGGACCGCGTCTTCTTCAGACACGCTATCTTCATGCTCGCGTGCCGGTTCTGGCGTAGCATATCAGTCCACCACGCTAAGGTAAGGTAGGCAGTTACATTCCTGTGATTTGCGGTTCTGCCGCGGTTCTGCCCATCAGCTTTGCCCCAGCTTCATTTGTAGGTCCTTGTGGGCATATGCCGTCATGAGTCCATTGGTACCCCGGATGTATTGCTCCGTTTCGCCTATCGCAGGCACCGATGAGGCCGGACCGTGGTCCGGGATTGGCCACCAAGGCCACCTCGCTTCGCCGGTCGGTCGGCGCTTGGCACTATTGGTCGTTGCGGGTGCTCCGAGAGGAAGTGGGCCCGTGACTTGGAAAGGGCAGTCAGTTGACTCTCAGGGAGATGAGGCAGATGCTGCAGCTGCTGACTTGTTCACTCACAGTTACTATTGACAATCATCCCATTTTCAGGACGTTAACATCTCCCTCCCCCTCATGTCGCCAGCAGTTGATCTTAGAGGCACTCGTGGCATGGGGACACAATCCTTCTGTCTCAAGGTCTTGGACTGGCGCCTCTCCATCATGAGGCTTTCCCTTGGCGCGCGCTGTGGCTTGTGATGCCCGTCACATTCCCAGACGTCACTCCAAATTGAGCCTAGCAGACACTGCCACAATGCCAAGGCCCGTTCCTTTACGTTTTCCCCCGCAGCCATCAACATTGTCGTTGGACACGTTCTCGAACAAGAGGACGGGCACGTCATAGACCTCATCACTCGTTATACAACAATCCCTTCTATGCCACGAGTCTTGCATGCAGAGATTGTCTCGGATCACTGCCAACCCGTTCCTTCAGTGGCCTGGGACGTCGATCACATCCTCGTTAACGTCACCGCGGGCAGCAATCCTTGAGCTGTCCTTCCCAGTGTTAAGGCCTCACACGTTGGCTTGACGGGCCGTGAGGTTGCTCAAGCGGTGATAGAGCCCACTCCCTGGTGCTGCAAGGGCGAGACGTCTTCTTGAAACTCCATTAGGCAACCACACATTATACACGGCACGTCAACGACGGCTGTCACATTCTGGCCTTCGGCAGCTGTCGTCGGGCGCCTGAACGAAGCCTCAAACAGCGCCAAAGCTGATCTCTCGAACGCCCAGAACGCCGAATCGCAGACGCTCATCATGGTCGGCGTCCCTGGGAGGTCCAAAGGATGCAATACATGCCGCAGACGAAAAAAAGGTGTAAGTCCGGTATGGAGACGCGCACACGCTATGGCACTCGCTAGAAGGCTCTCATTCCTTGGTCTGACTCGTCTTGCGACCCACGTCCAACCGACCTGTGGGCGACATCCCATCCCCATCGCCGTCCTCGAGGGTCCCTACACCCGCCAAGGCGCAGCTGACTGATTCTCATGCAGTGCGATCAACAGCGACCCGTTTGCGGCCAGTGTCTCAAATCGCGCGTTGAATGTACAGGCTACGAACGTCAACGGGTCTTCATCAACGCTAGCGGACCGGTGGCCGGCCAGGCCTTGTCTGTCTCACGGGCGTCTCCGCCCGTCTACGATGTCTCGCTGCACCCCGATCTCGCACGCTCGGCGTACGAGGTCAAGTATCTTGATCTCTTCTGGCGTGCGTACCTCCCCAGCGGCAAAGCCTTTACCCCATATGCATCGGGATACTCGATCGGCGGCTGGACCGCTGTCTCTCGCGATCTGTTTCACACGGATAGCGCGCTGAGGAAAGCACTCCTCGCAATGTGTCTTGGGACGCTCGGTCGTGAAGGTGGCGAGCCGTGGATGGTGAGGGAGGGCTTGAGGTCCTACACGCAGGCGTTAGGCGAAATGACTATCGGACTACGATCACCAGAAAAGAGGAGCTCGGATGCGTTTCTGGTTGCGTCGAGGTTAATGGGACTGTATGAGGTAGTCAACGCGATTTCCCAACGCCCCGCTGCTGGGTTTTTCCCTTTTCGGCGTCGAAAGCGACTAACCATCCTTTAGATTCTGTACGGTGGCGATGATCACGCGAAGAAGATATCACAAGCAGGAAGCTGGCAGAGTCACAACCTGGGTGAAGTGGCGCTCATCACGTCCCGGCCTCCTGTTGAACATGCTGACGGGCATGCTCACCAGCTTTTTGTCGACAGCCGCATGCACCTTGTAAGTGTTCTTCTCGGCCGCATGATGACGGATGAAATCCGATTGCTGAAGTCTGCCAGATCATCATCGCCATCAAGCTCCGGAGGCGCAACTTCCTCAGCTCTCCCGAGTGGAAGACCATCCCGTGGACGAATGCGGCCAAGGTGCCCAAAGACCTGCTTCTGGACATCTTCGTGGATATCCCCGGCCTTCTAGAGGACCTTGATGCCCTGGCGCTGTGTGACGATGCGGCGTCGAGACCGTTGCTCTACGCACGGCTGGTTGCCGATTGCTGGCGTACAGACGAGAGATTGGTCTCATGGTTCGAGGAGCAAAGTCCCCGAGCCCATCTCGAAGCCCTCAAGGAACGTGAATACAAGGAGCCCACCCCAGAAGACACTGCGGTTGCCATGTCTATGAGCCTGTATTGGACCGCTTGCTTGCTCACGTATTCCACGCTCATTCTCGTTCTGACATCCAATCCGACATCTCCGCTAGACATTACTACCTTACCAGAGCGCATGAACCTCAACTCTTACTGCGCTGCCATTGCCGACATCCTCGAGATCTTCTTCCAGCCCAGTTCTGGCATCTTCAGCGTGCAACTCGTCCCCCTGCCACTTGGTATCGCGCTCTCTTACCTTGCGTCGACCCTGAAGCCGGGCACGCCGCCCCCCACGGAGCTCAAGAAATTGCTCGGTTATTTTACGCGGGGCGCAGGTGGGGCCTCTGTCGGAAGCTTCTTGAGAAGTATGATGCTCAATGGCATGGGGAAACTAAGCAACGCATCCAAGTCGGCGAACGCCGACAGATTCGAACGCGCAATCAGTGGTAGGCCTACCCCTGACGATATCAAGTGCGTGCAGGGTGTATCAGAGGGTTGGGCAAGGTCTGCGCCCCTCCAGAATCCCCCCATCATGTCCGAACGGGCGACTAGTATTAGCAGGACTTGAATCTCGAATCTGTCCTCAGCTAGATTACTCACCAACCCGTAAGGAGGCTCACGACACACGCGTCCTTTCTAGAAATAAACCTTCCACAATGCACAGCCGACAACTTGTAAAAGATGGCGAAGCAATGCTGCGGAATAAGTGTGGTAAAGCCGCGAACTTCATAAGGACTTGGTCAGGTTATATGCCTTGCCTCTGAAGGTCCTTCGGTTCCAGCGATGTTGCATTTCATGAACAGCCCGCGCATTCATGTTCCTCTTTCATATCCATACAAATGTGATCTCGGACGCAGCAGAGGGTGAAAAACGATTCTTACCCCCTGGGGACCCAAAGTAATAAGTCATGACATGGAGATGAAATATTGGTTTCACCGCGGCCAGCTAAGGGTTCCATTCCGACTCCTCAGGTTTCACGTTCTGGACCACGAGAGAATCAATCTCGTTTCTATGATAGCTGGAGGATGATTCTAAGCACTTCTCCAGCAAGGTCGTGCTTTACTGTGTTGTATATAATAGCAGTATGAACTCGTATACCCCAGTCCACGTATCCTGCCGGCAGCCGTGACTCGGCCGTAGACAAAGAAGCTCGAATTTAAGGCCGAAATATCATGTAACTTGAGTGAAGCGCACAAGCAGCATATCATCGGCGTGACGAATCATTTCATTTTGGGCGTGGTCATACGGTATTGGCATCACTGTCTGATTGTAGAGGAACTGTCGAATGGAAAGACATGAAGAATGACTACCGTAGGCATGCCTCCCGGATAGGCAACAAGATCATGTTCTTATCAAGTGTGACAGGTCATGTTCCGGGCATCAATCCCAGACCTGCAAGTACTCGCCCGCATTTGAGATGAGCTCTCAGTCCTAAGCGCGACACCAGGCCATGCAGGAACCAACGTACTATAGATCGATCATCCCCGTCGGGCAGAAGTCCCGGCCTCCTGCCTCTTTCGTCTCCAGTCATGCTGTGCTTTCAAAATCTACGCGAGTATTTTGCTCCCGATGTTCACATCTATCCTGTGGAGGCTTTGTAATACGACATACGATGCGGCTAACGAGCCCCACAACCGTCCTTACTGTGTCCATCATGGTGGGGTGAAAGCTGCGAAAAACTTCCAAGGGGCCAAGTGAACGCAAAAGTCGAACGATGTAGGCCCAGTGGCATATCTAGTCTGGTCACATCGCCAGCCACCTCGGTACAGGCCATATGCATTCCGAGACCCAGGAACATCTCACTTTGCGACTGGACAACTCGACCCCCAGACCTCCAGCTAGGTGGCTCAGTTTTTCTACATCCGTCAGCCAACTTCTTGGTGCCTTTGAAAGCTGCTACAGATTATGGCGATGCTGTTTGTGAAGCTTGTTGGCGATGATGGCGCGGAAAAAGGGCATTGCAATTGACACTTCAGTCTGACCTACTGCATCAACGTCGAATGCCACCAAGACCTCGGCTAGCGTGAACAAAGTGCCGAGAAGCTTGCGTAGGCCATCTTGAAACATCGAGCGTTGTGGAACCATTACAGCGATTCGATCCTTGCAATCAAGCTCTTGTGCCGCGGACCTGCGCCCAGAGTCTTTTTCATTTATTAAGGTTTGAGGCGATGTCGAGAGGGTGGGGATGCTTGTCAGTGTCGTCATGCTGTACCTAGATCGCCTGAGCTGACAGATCTTATCGGGGAAGTAATGCTGTGTCGAAAAGCCCGAAGAATGAGAGGCATACATCGACAAACTGCCGAGATTCTCTCAAGTCCAGGATTTCGCCGGAAATGATGCGACCTTTTGCATCTTCTGAATTACGACGACAGAGGGGCTTGGCCAAGCCTCACATTGTTCTGGATCGTCTTCAATGTGTGGACAATAGCTTATAAAGGAGCCGTCTTGCAGCTGTCTACGGTTGAACATATTAAGTACTCTCATAGCAGTAGCCTGAGTCCACACTACAAACCGCACTTCACCTTACGCTAGCGCAATACTACAAACATGCGTGTCTCTGCTCTGATCGCCTTCTCTGCAAGCTGCCTTGGCATCACGGCCAGCGCTAGCCCTTCTTTCAAACTATTTTCACCCAAGCCTAACTGCCCCCCTCAAAGCGCGAATCCGTGGCAGCAGCGCGCCATCCTAGCAGACTTTGTGGAAGCCTTCTTCGTAGAGCAAAACGCTACAAAGGCCATACTCAATCACATCGCGGAAGACTACATTCAGCACAATCCTGGAGCACTGTCGGGCCGCCAAAACGCACTAGACGCTCTTGTGCCGTTCCTGTCTTTGCCCGGCGTCAACCTGACCGTCCTGCGACAGGGCTTCGAAAACAACTTGGCATTCATCCATTCTCGTTTGGACATCGATGGCGTTGCGCAGCCAACTGCGATTGTCGACATTTTTAGGTTCAATGGAACCTGCATCGTCGAGCATTGGGACGTCGTCCAGGCCAGAGACCCCAACTCTATCAACCCGTTGGCTCTGTTCTAGTTTAACGTATCCTTACTGGATTACCGATGAATTTTTCACAAATTTGTCTACGTGGGAAACTTGTGGGAGTCCAATCATCCAGTGTAGGGATAAAGCTGGGCACATTCAGTATGTCCAATTCAATGCACAAACTTCAACTTCGAATAAGGCTTTCAATGGCATAGTATATGACCGAATGTAAACCATGGCTATCAAAGCTCGTGAAGTGATGAACAGAGGCTAATCGGACTTCTTTGACCTATTTCATTGCCAAAACCATGGATGCGTTTGACTCGCCAGTAAATACATCCCAACCACAAAAACAAGATACAGATAGCTAGGTTGACGACTGAGAAAGTCGGCATACGCCATAATGCGTATCCATCACCATCTCGTAGTCGAAAGTTGACATTGGGGCTAGGAACAGCAGAATTTTGACCTTACACATCGTAGTATACAGTAAGGACTGGCTTTGCTCGGCATCCGGCTTTTCTCCCCCGTGTTGTAAGGATTCAGCTCCCATGAAAGTTGGTTTTTTATTGGCTAAATTATCCGGAGCAGCTGGAATTGTGGCAATGCTGCGACCATTTGGAAGTGGCCGAATGTCTGCGAACATGCTCGAGGCCCGTGGGAATTGGCCAGTGGGCCGGCGGGCTGCGTAGCCACGGATGTCTCTAGCAGCCACGGTCGAGACACCTACTCAGCAAGCTCTGTGTATGCTTCGCACGCGCACGGATGATGCGTGAAAGGCCACTATGCTTTCTTGCAAAGAACGACGCCGAGTGATGCTGAAGCTTGTTGCGTCACGGCTGTCGGTCCAAACAGCGCTATCGTTATGTCTAATTAATTACATAGACTCAACGCCAATCGCGGGAACCTCAGCTGGACACCAGTTTCCAGACTTGACTGGAATGATCTGGGCACGGTGGTTGAGACAGGATCTTATTAGGGCCCGGGTTTACCACATCGGGCTCCTATGATCGAATGGAGCTTGAAACGCAACACCATGTGTGAGCATGCATTCGACCGCACGCATGAGATAAACCCATCAAAATGATCGTGGTACTTTTTTTTCTTTTTCCTTGAAAGAGAATAATCCTAATCCCATTTGTTTGCGGATATCGACGCAGGGAGCGAACAGCTAGGACGTATCGAGCCTGATATCGGACTGAGTGGGTGGGCAGGGGTGGGTCACAAGCCCGTTGTTGTTGACCACGGCCGCGGAAGAATGCACGGTCTCAGACTTTCAGGGGACGAGCGATGAAGATCTGCGCCGAGTTATTGTTCCGCTGCTGGAAAACACAAGAAGAGTCAAATTCCACTTGTGAATCAATTGTCCTGATGAAGAAGGGCCTCGACCCGGGGAAGCCGAGCCTGCATGCAACGGAATAATCCACCAAGTGCAGCCACTATATTGCCTAGTGCAGCATCTGACTTGGATGAAAAATATCCCATGTACGCCGAGGTCTGACTATGACTCGACAAGGGTGAATCTTTGTAGGGCTGCGATCTTCCCGAGAACCGGGTGCTCGTTCGCTGTATGTCTCAATGTACCACCCACCGCCTGTGAGACAACGAAGGTTCGAAGATCGACCTTTGGCGCCAGTTCGACTCGAGATGTGACCCTTATCACGGAGGTATATAATTGACATATTACTCAGGTCAAAAAATGTAGCACACGTCGAGCTGTGCGAGGGGAAGAAGTCAACAAGCTTGTGATGTGCACCACAAGCATTGTCTCTCAACTGTTTCCATAACATGCTTCGAATCATTAGCATTATTCGGTAGACTGGCCGCCGTGAGGCATAGACCTGCCATTTTCTGGGGCAGCATTCCTTGGAGTAATCTTTCTCTTCACCTGCTTCGGCCCTACTGACCAATTAGCCCATGCCTGCTCGGGTAGTTATTGACTTGTCGCGTGAAAAAGCTGACTTCATGCATGAGAGCAGATACACTGGTGCTGCACAGCGACCTGCACAAAAGCAGTTGTTGACGGGGTTTCCACGAAGTTCAGCTGCTTGACCCATTCACCTCACTATTCCTCTAGTCTTCCGGCTACTGACTCATCGCGTACTATCCTGAAAGGAAGCCCGCGAAAGGAAGCCCACGTATTCGCTATGTTCATCCATACGACGGACATGCCCTCTGAAACTTCTTCTTCTGCTTGGCTGCTACTTGACTAAGGCTGCGATTATTGCCGCTGGAATCTCGCATCACACGATTTGCTCACGCACCGGGCTGTGTACTCACAACAAACAACTTCGATCATGCCTAATTCGTGACGAGACCCTGAATAGCTTCGACAAGAATAGCATCGTTACCTGTCCTCCCCAGGATGTACATGAACAGTAAAGGAATGTGAAAGACGGCACCACTCGATTCATTAGCGGCCCCGGATTTATAGATCTTTTATCTTTCCTCTTACATCTCGATTGGTCGGATCTAAACTCACGTAGCGGACGCGGCAACTTAATCTGGGCAAGGGTGGAAGTCCGCAAGTGCACTCGTCTGGAGGGGTCTGAAACCTTACATGCCCTGCATGGGCAGCAGGCTCAGCCATATCAGCATGCCCCATGGCGTGGCGATACGGAGTTGACATACGGTAGAACAAATGTTCAGATGAGAGCCAGAGAGTCTGAGACTATTATAAGACTCTCGAAACAGCCCGCAGGTTTTCGCGCCTGGCTCTGTCACCGTCGGCCACTTTCACTTCTGATCTCCACCATGAAGTTTCTCTCTCCAGCTGTGGTAGGCTCACTCACTGCATGGCCAGTACTGGTGGCCTCTTTTGAGGAAGGCTGTGGCCTTGAAACTCATTTGACAGTTACGGAGACGCAGAACGTCGAAATTATCTCCTGCACTGATGATGCGACATTCACGCGCACCACATCTGTCGTCCGGTAAGTGAGGCCTAGAAGTTGCTTAAGCTGCCTTGTAATATACTCATGTATATTGTCCAGCACATTAGTTTTCCATGCTCGGCCACCTTACATTCTGGTCCACGAAGGGTACGAAGGACCAGTTCCGACGACAGTCACGTTTGCCCCAACAGGAACAGATCTTGGCACAATAGTCATTTACACACCGACCGACGCCCCTGATGATGAACAAAATAAGAAGGATGGATCACAGTCTGCACAAACAACATCGCAGCACCCTGGCGGAGGCTGGCCTACAAATTGGCCTTATCCACCGCCATGGGTGCCGTGGCAGTCTGATTCTCACGACAAGTTCGTGCCGTACCCAACCAATACGGGCCGGGTAACAACCTTGGAAAATGAGGCCAGACCCGGCACTTCGACAACAGCTGCCTTTACTTCACCTGCATCCGGATCTGAGGCTCCTTCTAACTCTTGGCTACCAATCGAATCGACCTTGAGTAACTCGCAGAATGCCATGGAAAGCAAGAGCGCGGATATATCTGCTTCGCGAACAAACTCGATGCCCTCGTCATCCATTATTGGCTCCTTCTTCACATCAATCACAGGATCCTCTTCTGAGCCACTCCCTAGCTCTGGTTCCCCTTTTCCCAGTTCACTGCTGCCCGAATCCAGTTTCATCCTGCCAAATAGCAATTCCGCCGAGCCCAGTTCAGCTACCCCGTCTGAAAATTCCTTTCCGCCTTTCTTTAGCTCTGCTTCCCCGATCCCTAGTTCATTATCACCCCAGCCTAGTTCCCTTCTTCCCAATAGTGCTTCGGCTGAACCCAGTTCATTGATTCCCCTACCTAGTTCATTCGAGTCACTCCCGAGCTCGAGTGTTCTCAGCTCGATAGAGCCCAGCTCTATTTCACCCTCTCCCAGCTCGCTCGCGCCCATAGCGAGCTCAATAGGGTCTAGCTCTAGTCAACCGAGGTCTTCGGAGCCTAGCTCTATCCTGCCGAGCTCGGCAGAGCCTAGTTCGTTCGAACCTCAACCAAGCTCACTGGGTCCCAGCTCTATCATACCCTCCCCCAGCTCATTCGAGCCTATCCCAAGCTCTCTCAGACCCAGCTCGATAGAGCCTCCTTCAAGCATACCATCGCCAAGTTCTTCCGAATCTCGCCCGAGCTCAGCTTTGCCCAGCTCTGCTCAACCGAGCTCAGTGGCACCCAGCTCTGGTCAACCGAGCTCAGGCGCACCCAGTTCCGCCCAGCCAAGTTCCGCAGCGCCCAGCTCGGCCCTGCCAAGCTCAGTGGCACCCAGCTCGGCCCTGCCAAGCTCCATGCCCCCAAGCTCAGTCCAGTCGAGCGTATCGCCCTCCTCCTCCGCCCCGGCGCCGACACCCGACGTGAGCTGCAACAACCGCGGTCTCGAGTACGCAATCTACGACCATAGCTTCTTCAACTCAGACTTCCCCGCCTTCTCGTCCCTCGACGTCAACTACTTTCATATAACGCAACCCACCTTCACCGGCACGACGGAGCGCATCGGCATCCCGCCGGGCACGAACCCGTATTTCCCACCCTTCAGCATCTACGACGATACACCGGCTCAGCTCTACATGTTCAAGGCCGTCAACCACCGCGCCTTTCTCTACGCGCCCGTCACGGGCACCTACACGATCACGGTGCCCGACTCGGACGAGATCACGCTCGTCTGGCTCGGCGACAAGGCCATCTCGACCTGGACCCGCGCCAACGCCGACCTGGAGCAGGACTTTAATACCGTGGACGGGCCTGAGGAGACGACCGTATTTAGGATTGAGCTGCAGGCCGGCACGTATACGCCGTTCCGTCTTTTGTGGGCGAATGCGCAAGGCGAGCTTTCATTCATTGCGCGGGTCCAGGAGCCGGGTGGACGGATTATTGTGGATGGAGACGGGTCGGACAGCGACTTTTTTGTACGTTTCGCTTGCGACATGTCGACGCCTGAGTACCCGCCTTTTGGACAGGATGGTTGAGGCTCGGGTGTTGGGCTTTCACTATCCGAGCAGCTTAGAAGCGTGCAGACTGCCCATGTAACAACAATCTCGACGCGTTGCGGCATACACCCGCGTAGCGCTCACAATAATTTCATACATATCAACATTGATCATCTTCATCACGATATGCGATAATGTCAAGAGCAAAGCAGGAGGGTGATAAAGGACAGAATTTGATCAATATCTGTTACTTTCAATTGGTGGAATCAATGTAAAATTTCAGCAGGGACAAGTCGAACGGCTCAGTTCTTGAGGTCAGGGTTAACGCGAGTGGTCTCGTTGACGCCCATGTCGGCTTGTGTAGGGTACTCAGACGTGGTCGTCTCTGGGCCCTTGGAGTGTTGCTGCTGAAGGCTGTGGTAGAATTCGTCGCTCTCGTCAATGACGTACTTGGACGACTTGCGAGCAGGGACACCCTTCTGGAACTGTTGCACGATGCGAGTTAGCTTCACATAAAAGTATAGAAAAGGGAACGGCGGCGCTGCTTACCATGTAGTCCATCTCTCCGAAGGTGCGGTCTTTGGTCTCGAAGAGACGGAAGTAGCCCCAGGCAAGCGTGAAAGTGGCGAGGACGGCCCAGAAGTAGGCAGTCTTCCCCTTCCAGTTCCAAGCACCGGGGGCCATCATGCGGGGCTGCAGGATACCACCGCAGATGATGTTACCGACGTAGTAGAAGCTACGGCCCAGGACGACAGTGTGAGTGCGCAGACGAGTCGAGCCAATCTCAGCGACAATGGTGTAGACGATGGGGCCGACACTCATGGAGTAGGCGCCGAGCCAGACAACACAGAGTAGAGACTGTGTCCAACCGAGAGCGATGGTCTGGTTGGGGATACTAGCCAGGATACCAATGAGCCAGAGGATGACGACCAAGCTGGAGAAACCGACGAGCCAAATGCGACGGCGACCAAACTTGTGAATGTACAGCCAGGATATGCAAGTGCCAACCCACGCAACACCAGTGCCACCGAGACCAATGTAGTAGGCGACGCTGTCGGGGGTTCCGGTCTTCTGGAAGACCTGCTGGAAGAAGAAAGTGCCGGAGTAGCAGAGAGCGCCACCGTTGGTGATCTGGGACATGAACGACATCATGGCAATCTCCGTGCGACGACGGTTGGTACCACGGAAACAGTCATAGTAGGAAACACCAGCACGCTCCTCCTTCTCCGTCTTGTCCGTGTGGATCATCATGGCAACGGCCGCATCGTGGTTGACTTCGTGCTGGGCAGAAGCGAGACGCTGGAGAGAGTGCTTAGCCTTTTCGAACTGGCCCTGTCGGACAAGGTACCAGGGCGACTCGGGTGCGAAGAAGGCCACCAGACCGAGAGGAATAGGCCAGATCCATTGCAGGGCAAAGGGGATCTTGAAGCTCATCTCGCCTGGCTTGTCAACGAGGCCAGCAAGGATACCCGCAGAAATAAATTGACCGGTTGCCCAGCACCTAGAATCTCGTCAACACACACTGATGTCACGAGGCGTCATCCGAGCAACACTCACAAGTTGACATAGGCGGTGAGATAACCGCGAATGGCCAGAGGTGTGACTTCGGCAGCGTAGGCAGGACCAGACGTGGCGAACACACCCCAGGGAATACCGCAAAGGACCTGGCCAGCAAGCTGGGTCTCGATGTTCTCGGCAAAGAAGACGACAAAGATGAAAGCCGTGAGCCAGGCCAGAGAGCCCATGATGGTCCAGCGATGTCCCCAGCGAGCAGTAGCCCAACCGTTGAGGAGGGCACCAACAATGTTGGCAACAGCACCAATGGTGTTGAAGCGGGTTTGCCAGTCGGCGCTGACCTGATAGCCAGACTCCTCGTCGAGGTACTCGCCGTACTTGCGACGGAACTCGGGATATCCGAAGAAGCTGCCAATGAGGGTGACGTCGTAACCCTCCATGATGATGGTGGCAGAAATGGCTGATCGCAGATACCAATCAGCAATAGGTCACAGAGCTTGCTTGCGAGGTATCTCTGCACTTACCCATGGACCAGAATGCCGCGCTCTTGTATGTCTTCATACCCTGAAGGAAGCCATAGCTGTGCTCAGCATCGGTACCTTCCTGAGCTGCAGAGCTCAGGACCTTGCTGTCGAGGCCGGCGTCTGCCAAGGCGGCAGTGTTGTCAGGACCGCGCTCGATCTCGATATCGGTTGGGTTCTTCTCATTGTTGTGGGAAGCCATGATGGCGGCAGGCTGGGCTGAGAGAGCAGCTCTCTTTCAAAGGGACTTGGTGATTTGGTTCCCAGGCTGGGGTCGACGACGAGGCAAAGGGGTCGAGGTGGGTGGCCATTGGGGATGGGGGTTTGCCATTTATCAACATGTTTGTCGGGTAAGCCTCGCCTCCGCATGGCGAGGGGCCCCAGGATGGCATCCTGGACCGCATCGCAGCACTACCCCAAAGGAGAGGAGCGCGGCGCGGGTGATTGTGTCGCGGTGCTCGCGCCATGCTGAATGGGGCGTAGCGCAATGGCATTCAGAGGAGGATGCCTTGGACGCTTAGGGCGAGGTTCTCCGCAAAGACGGGTGTGGAAGAGATGGGCTGGGTCTGCAGGAGCATCGGGTTGTCCAGTCGAAAGCCGATCGACACTGTAGCTAGCGGCGGGTTTGGCAGGTTCCAACGGGGATGCAACATGGTGAGTGGTCGTGGGCGTCCGGGGGAGGGGTCGTTCATGGGATTGCGAGAGGGTAAGTGGCGGCCTGCCGTGTAGCCACCGCGTGCGTCGAGCACCGTGAGCCCGACCATGAACCAGCTTAGGGACGACGGACCGTCAAGATGCGTTCTCGACGTGATCGTGACCCTGACTTTGGCACCCGCCATTGGTGGAAGACGGGTCCGGGGCCTGCCTTGGCACGAGGGGGCGTTGGAGAGACCGGGGTTCTGAACCTAGCGGTTATTGGGGGTGGAGCCTGGCATCTGGTCCGGGGCATGGTCGTTTCTGCTAGTGGCGTGACATGTGGAGGAGCGCAGGAGGAAGTGCATCGCACCCTGTGCTTGTTGGTTGCTGTGGTCAAAGAAAAGGATATCGAAATTGGGGTAACGCCTTTGGATCCGGTCGACTGTCTTGATGCCTTTCGATCAACCTGTTGGATGGGATGTTTCGAAGCTGGCTCTGATCAAGGACGACTAAAATTGGGTCCTAGGGCAGGCACGCACTCCTCATACCTCGTTTTGTAGCGACGGGACAGGCCCGGATAAAGGGAGCGCTACAGCTAGCGGCATGGGTAAGCGGCTGTTGATTTGTGTGTCTAGGTAGTCGAGAGTTCCGGTATTGTGATGATACTTTTTGCTGCTGTGACCCTGTGGCAGAACTTGGGATAAGGTAAGTGGGTAAGGTAGGTAGCTTGGGTAGGTAAGGTAGGCTGGGAGAGGCCTGTTCCGGGCCCTTAGGCAGGAAGGCTTCGAAATGAAAGGAAATCTCGGCCAATGTTGCACCTGCAAGGCGGTACTTGCAGAATAGGAAGTGGAGGCAAACCATGTGCTGCAGGTGCAGGCGGGCAGCAAGTGCCTGCCCAAGGTAGGGCATGGCTAGGTATCGTCCGTTACTGCCAACCTACCAGCCAGTTGGTTGCCAGGCCCAACTTCCTTGCTTCCCAGAATCACTACTTGCTCACTCGAGGTCAGGTCCTGATGGGAAACTACGATGTCTACCTACCTACCTTACCTACCTAGGTACCTATCCAAGTACCTGACGTGCCTGACGAATGGGGAAATCGATGCCCCAATTGATTTTAGATGCTCTCACCCGCACCTCCAGACTAGGTACGTACTTAATTTCCCTTGCTGACTGCCAGGACAGGCTCATGTACCGTGCCGCACGCCACGGTCAGGCGTCCCCTGTACTCCTCCTGCATTGCCAAAAAGCATTCCTTGGTAGGCAAGTACGCTCAAAAGCCACCTCCGCGACGCCAAACACCGCCTGAAGCAATCACTGTCGCCCAAAGCCGTCCATTCCCCCATCCACCATCGCCGGCTGTTCGGAAGAGGGCGCTCGCTTGTTTATTCGTCCGCCATGACATCTCCACACACACTCTCTCTCTCTCGTGAAGCTCTGCCTTTACCCCAGGTCTGCAGATCGCCAGCACCACGATATGGTGGGCAGGCCGTGACAGCCCCTCATGCTCGGTTCTCCCCATACTCGCCATACTTGATACGCCTGTGCGGGGTCGAGCGCTTGTGTCCTCGGAAACACGAAGCGTGCGGCCGCATCCGCAAGCCGCTGGGCGGAGCTCCCTCGTGGAGCGCAAAGAATCTCTTTTTGGTTCGGGGCCCTGCGAGTCACCCGGCCCACCAGAATCATTCCCCACTCTCGTGCAAGTCAAGCTTGCGCTACGGACGTCCTTCGAGCCTGGTCGTCCTCGGCGGTGCGGCACCCTGGTTTCGGTTGTCTTCGGCCGACTGTCGGACAACCGTCGATCAGGCACGCGTCTCCATCTGCTACAGCCGACTTGCCACGACAGCCTGGTGTCTTTTTCCGTCGCGCCTCTCAACCTTGCGGTGGCCGGATCGGTGATGAATGGTGAGACCTTGTGCCTGAGACTCGCGGCCCTGGCTGCTGGCGTCACATTTGCCTGCACGCTCGGCTATGCCATGCGGTACAGATCACAAGTTTTCTGGTCGGTCATCCGTCGCTTCTGCATATTGAACCGCACTACCGGGTCAAGCCCTCTATCGTCTGTACTCCCGCCAGGATTGTTTGCCTGGCTTGATCGATGCGACATAGCGGGGAGGGGGAAGCCAGCACTCTCTCCTTTGTCTTGCGAATCATAAATAGAGTCCTGGACCACGGGCGTCCTGTCACCAGATTGGGGCCAATTTCTCCAAGCTTGGTCAATACGGGGGTGCTTCGGCTTCGAACCACTGAGAGGCCCGCGGTAGTAAAGCCTTGACCCTAGGGAGGCTGGCGCTTGATCCGGCTGGCAATGACGGGAGTTTCTATGCGTTCTGCGCAAGTTTGCCATTCGATCGGACTGCAACTTCTCCAAGCCTCCGCAAGGAGCGTGCTTCAGCTGAACGTCTTGGTGCCTGTGCTGCCAGGACGGGCTACAATCTAGTCCTGGGATCATGGTGTGGTCGAGCCCGACCACGAAGGGGTTGGATTTAAACCGACGGTTCAAGTTCCAAGACGGCACCATCCTTGCAAACCTCTCCCACCCTCTTAGCCGCGAATGCAGGTTTTTCAAGGATGCCTGCAGAGTGAAACTATCACTTCTATCTTCGGCCACGCCCAGACCCTGAGACTGCGTGGGCCTTTCATGTCCCCGTATGAGGCCGCGAGGAGGGTGTACCGAGACAGAGATGAGTGGAGGCGGTGTCGCGACCTGGTCTCCACGTGAGATAGATCATCTGATGAGCAGGTTTGACTGGATTTGCGGGCTGGTAGGTTGTCCGAAGCTGTGTATGCAGGCTGAAGCTCGTGCAGAAGAATATCGAAAAGGCCCTTTCCCCCTGCCACCATTGGTGTCGTGCCCCGACCTACTCTGATCTGTTTCCACATCTTTATCGTTGCAAGCAACGTCTAAAAGGCACCATCTCGACCGCCGCTTGACACTGTGGCATGGAAGCTTGCATATTTTGACCAAGACAGAGATTCCCGGCTAAACTTGAGCAAGTGCCATTCGGCATTGACATTTCGCTGAAAAAAAGTTCAGAAGGCTGGGGTAATCAACCACACTGATCGACTCGCTTCTCTGCCCTATTTGTGTGGCAGCGCTTTTGAAAGTCAGATCCTCTGGATAACAAAGGAGGATACGCAGTATCGTTACGAGATTTTCCCTTTGCAATCAGCGACGTCGACTTCCGAAAGCCGAATGGTTGGATCGGAAAGAGTCATCGACTGGTGGAGTGTACATGTTTGCTGTCAATTCTGACATGGCCGTGATTGATGATCGAGAAAAAATCCATGAACGTTCCAGTGTGGAGATTGGTTCGCCACAAGATGTTTCACACCCATCACAGAGGGCAATGGTATCGCTAGCCTTGAATTTCTGGGGCTATGCGAGGAGTATGTGTGTCTAAGGCTTCAGGCTCCCTGCAACACTTGCAACACACTCTGCGGCAGAGCCTGCACCAGGAGTCTCGACCTCGTACTACATGAATGCGGCCCTATGAGGGCGGGAAAGAGTGTCTGAGCAACGCTTGTGGAACAGGCTGGCTAAGGTAGGCAAATTTTCAGCAAGCCTGAATTTCTCAGATCAGCTTAGGCCCTTTTCGAAAGATGAGATGCTTGTTGCAAGGAATATCCATATGGCTCACAATCATTCGGAGAATAACACGAATGCAAAGGATTGGGAAGTCCAGTGCCAGATACACAAGGTACACGAGCAGGTGGGCGACAAAGAAAAGGCCCACCAAAAGAGAGAGCACCCAAGTTTACCAGCAAAGCAGTTCCAAATCATGCCTCGCTATCACATAGTATGCATATCATTGATTCTGTCAAGTGCTTGCCGAGGTCAAGAGTTGCGTATTGGCTTCGGTGTGGACTGCCGGTGAAGAGCTTCGGTGTGATGATCTCAAGTTCGGTCTGCGCCACAAACAATCCAGACCTGTGGCGGGTGATGTTGCATGGGGAAGGTGTCGGGAAATTAACAAGCTCTCGCATCTGCATTCACTCTCGGTACTCGAATTCGGGACTCCTCTCCTTTCTTCCCCTCCGCTCATTGCGTTTTGCGACCATCAAAGAAAGTCTTTCGTCGTCGTCTCGAAGCTGCAGACTATAGGATCTCTGTCCAGCCTCTTGTTGCCGCATGACAACCTTTGTTTACATAGTTACCTACCTGTCTTGTTGATGACCCCGCCATCGAGACGCTAGGCAATCAACAAAGCAACGCCCCCCCTCTCTCCTTAGCTCCCGTCGCGGGCGAGCTTCGATATCATCGACTATCGTGCGCTAAGACCCTCTCCCAAATCCGTGCATATATGCTCTCGGAGTCATTCGCAGCAGCCCTATATCGGTTCCTCTATTGCTGCAAGCCGATACGCATAGTGATAGCGCAGAGGCCAAAATCATATTCAACATGGAGGAGAAGCCAGCGGCGGTCAACCGCCAAAGTGCGATTCCCCGCATGTCACGACTTCCAACGCCAAGGTCCGCATCATCTTCCAACCTCCGACCAGCTGCTTCGAAAGAGAACTTGAACCCCGTCCCGAAGCAGCGCCTTCGCCCAGCAGCTTCTCGAGATCAATTGCCCCGAGCCTCGTCGATTCCTTCCAACAGACTCGAACCCCGCGAAGCCTTGGCCACGACGCCTCGCCCGAGACGAGACATCTCTGCCGCCCGACCACGAGCCACAGATTCAAGACCGAGCTTAGCTGCCTCGACCACACCGACTCACTCTCCCTCGCAGACGCCTTCGAGCCACACCCCAACAGGCGATCCTCCCGCGGATCCAGACCACTTTCTCTTCAAGAAACCGACAGCCCTCACTCGACGCCCCTCCGCAGCTCGAATATCCACGCCGAGCGATGGGACGAACCAGTCACCTGTCGATAGTGAACCGCCTGTCAATGACAGCACTGACGGCATGTCGTTCGGGACCATCCGGCCTAAGTCTTCGAAGCCAAGACCGTCTTTGTCCGAGCGAACAATGGAGACACTAGCGCAGCTCCCCTCTTCCCCGGCAATGAGCAAGAAATCGACATCCTTCTTTGACCCGGACGGTACAAGGAGGTCTCGGTCACGGGCAGGAAGCAATGGATCGAGGCCAGGCTCGAGTTATACATCCGATGGATCGATGCGTCCGCCCTCCCAGGCAAAAAGCCGCCCAGGTTCTAGTTCTGGCCCTGACGAAGGTAGTGTCTCGAGCTTCAGGGCATCTACGAATACTTTTCGACAGCCTCTGACCACGATTGAGGGTACGCCATCACGGCGTACCTCGGGGATTGCTTCGCTGAGGACGCCCTCTGTCCGGGGCGTCGCTCGCGCCACCCCAGCCCGCCCGACGAACTTCGCGGCTTCCACGATCGGACATTCCTTCGACAGAGGTTCGAGTCCAACCAAATCAACCGGTATCGCAGCGCCGCCGAAGATTGGGGCCAAGACAATCGCGGCTCGGCCGCTGAAGCAGAGACAGTCAATTAACGGTCTTTTCAAGAAGCCTTCGCTGCCTGCGATGGACCGCACTGCCGCTGCACAGCCAGCTCCTCCCAAATTTGCACCGAAGCCGGCACCCAAGACGTTACCGACACCATCAAGGCTCACAAAGCCGCCTCGAACGATAGCAAAGCCAGGAGCAATTGGAGCTGCATCTGAAGCCATTGGGAAGCCGGATATGGAGGCCAGTCGAAAATCATCCACTGCGCTTCGCGAGCAAATTGCACAGGCTAAAGCTGCAAAGCGCGCTGCGGCGAAGAAGGCGCCCGATCTGGATCTGGTCCCAGACTCGTTGGCCGTGACAGATGATCCAAAGTCCTTCCCGCTCAAATCCCCGATTGTGCCAGCCGACAACAGCTTCGATTTCGGGATCGCCGTAACACATGACCCGTTCAATACACAGAGAACACAGAGCGCGAAGAACAAGATTGTGCAACAGCGTCTTGGTGATGCGCGCAGCTCTGGCAGGCTCAATATCGCGGCCATGGGACTGAGTGTCATGCCTGTCGAAGTACTGAAAATGTATGATGCTGAGATGATGGGGACCAACGACGGGAGCTGGGCTGAGAGCGTCGATCTGACGAGGTTGATTGCTGCCGACAACGAGATGGAGCTCATCGACGACAGCATCTTCCCAGACGTGACTGCCGACGACCTAGCAGCTGATGAAGACGGGAATGGGAACATCTTTGGCGGTCTGGACACAATCGACCTGCATGGGAATCTGCTGATCTCTCTTCCTGTCGGACTCAGGCAGCTTCGCCTCCTGACGTCTCTGAACCTGGTATGCCGAGTCTGAGATTTTGATTGGCAGGAAGACTAACGAGTGCAGACCAACAATCGATTGGCAAACAACTGTTTCGAGGTGATTTCTCAGCTCACCTCACTGCGCGACCTCAAGCTCGCAAATAACCTTCTATACGGCCCGTTGGACCCCTCGGTCTCCAACCTACAAAATTTGGAGATCTTTGATATTCACGGCAACAACGTTTCGACTCTTCCTACCAATTTCGGGAATCTTGAACGGTTACGTATTCTTAACCTTGCCGAAAACAGCTTTGAACTGCTTCCATTCGGCATTCTGTCCCAGATGCCCCTGACAGAACTCAACCTAAAGAAGAACAAGCTTGCAAAGACACTTATTGAAGATGACGTGGAGGCTCTCCCGAAGCTGCAATCAATCGACATCTCCTGCAACCAGATCACACATATCGTTGCCCCTGGCACAACGGTCAGCCTGCCGGTGCTGTACCAGCTCAGCGCGTCTATGAACCGCCTGAAAGCTCTGCCTGACGTCAGCTCTTGGAGTAGTCTTCTGACGCTGACCGCGGACGAGAACAGTATCTCGGAATTTCCGGAAGGCTTCTTCAGTCTGGAGAAATTGCGACATGTTGATTTCTCTGCTAATGATATTCGCATCATCCCGCCGGAGATCGCCAGGATGGACAATCTTGCAATGATTCGTCTGAGTGGCAACCCGTTGCGTGACAAAAAGTTCATCTCGGCCACGACAGAGGAGCTGAAAGATGCCCTGGCAGCGAGGCTGGAACCGCCGCCTCCTTACGACGACGTCACGAGCACTGCGCACACTATCGCGGCTGCCATCGCCGACGATGCCAAAGCATCCGAACCTCCAACGAAAGAAGTCGCACCTGAAGAGGGTGAGCATGACAGTCGGTCTGACATGGATGACTTCGCAACTCCCCCGACATCGGCGCCGCACTCACCTGCTCGATCGAGGTCGCACACTCTTTCGAGCCAAACCTGGCCTATTAAGAATGGCGGACTGCTGGACCGCTCTGGAACACAGTCTTCGTCGCTTCACCCTGTCGTTTGTTCCAAAATTGCCGCCGCTACCCGGGTCACGGAAATCCAGCTCCATCACAACCTTTTCGCGACGTTTCCTGAATCTCTTACGTTCTTCGCCAACACCTTGACGGCGCTGTCTTTGGCCCATAACAAACTTGTCGGCGAGACGTACTTGCCAGAGGAGCTGGAGCTACCTGCTCTCCGGGAGCTCAATCTGATGAACAACCACATCACGAGCCTGACCCCGCTGACGGTCAACCTCCGATCGCCGCAGCTCGAGAAAGTTGATGTCTCGCTCAACCGTATCACAGCGCTACCGACTGATCTGCGTATCGTGTTCCCGCAGCTGTCGGTCATGCTGATTGCCAACAATCACCTCATCGAGCTCGACCCTGAGAGCATACGGGGTCTGCAGGTCGTGGACGCCAATAATAACGATATCGCACACTTGAACCCCAAGATCGGTTTGCTTGGCGGAAACGGCGGCCTGCGTCAGCTTGATGTATCAGGAAATCGCTTCCGTGTGCCGAGATTCAGCGTGCTCGAGCGTGGAACAGATGCAACACTGAGGTGGTTGCGGGGCCGTGTGCCTGTTGCCGAGATGGCCAGCTGGAAAGAGGGACAAGGAGAGGGTGGGCAGGGCGATTCTGACGACGACGTCGATTGAGTTTGAGGCACTAACTTTGCGGGGCCGTTAGGCGTTACTTCTGAGAATGGGAATATAGGGCGAGACTGCTTATTGGCATGTTGCTTGGCTTTGGCGAAGATACCACATTTGTTATTGTATACTGCGCCCGGGCGAACAGGGAGCATAGTAATTCCAGGCGTCGTGGCGCCGCCACAAGACCTTTGTCGTATTTCGGTGCGAATTTCGGTGCCTTCAGGCCCCAGATGCCAGGCTCGCACCATCGAGTGAGTATGATTCTGTGTGGGACGAGACAAAAGCTCTTGTCGAGCCATGAGATTGGTGACCTTTTGAGGCCTGTTGAAGGCGCACCTTGGTGGCACCCAGCCAGACCCCTGGGCCTCAGGATCAGGCTTCATCGATCATGGCAAGGTTGAGACTTAAGCTTTGCGGGCCGAAATGGACAAATGGGCACATTGGATAGAACCATGTGACCAAAAGGTTGCCAACTATTTAAGAGTCAGATTCTGTCACTCTATCTACAATCCTTTGTTTTTCTGGTCATCGAGCCTAACAAAAGACTATCACTCATCGCCTCATCTGCATCACCTGAGGAGACACCCGCCTGGCCCGCCCCAGCTATCGCGGCCCACAACACACATACACTTGAGAAAGAGCCATGGTGCCTATCCAAATCAGCTACATCCCGCCTCCGCCTAGAGGCGGGTCCACCGACGACCACACCAGCAAGTCAGCGATCATCTTCCAGGCGGTATATCCAAGCCTCCTTATTTACTTCACTATCGGCCTTGTGATAGGGGTGGTTTCTCAAGCACTTAGACGACCTAAATGGTTCACACGAAATCGCCAGAAAAGCTCAGGTCCTATGCGGGATTTGCTCTGGGCGTGCGCAATCATCACCACGTGGCCTGTCCTTCTTCCCGTGCTCGCCCTCATCAGGAGCATCAACAGAAGGCGGACGGGTTTGAAGAAGGCGACAAGGAGGAAGAGACACGAGATGATGTCGGAGGAGGGTGCAACAGGCGTGACAGAATTGGTGGTTGCAGCACCTGTTTTGCCTACTGCTGGGAAGAGCGAACACGCAAGGACGCAGTTCGACCAGGATCTCGAACTTGGGGCTTTGCCTCTGGATGCCGACGAGACGGGAAGGGACGGGAGAGCGAGAGGTCGCGGGTAATGCGAGACACAAACGGTCTATATCCAGGGTTGTCGATACTTCATCTTCCGTCCGTAGAATTCATCACAATTTTCCAAGCCTCTCTTCTAATTCGATGCCAGAGACTTGACATCCGTGTCAGCACTTCTGTAAAAGCCCAGTGAACGCAGCATCGGCCTTATCGTCGAAGCGGTACAGATACGCCGCGTCAACCCCGTCCTTTGCGTGATGCTCGTATGCATTGAAGGCGGGGATGTAGAAGGTGTGTACTCTCTTCCAGTCGAAGCGTTGGTCGTTAATTATGCTGCGACCCGACCACTCGACGATATGATACTGAAGACACGGTCTCTTGAACCTGAGAAACATCGTCGACCTGACAAGGCCATATCATGATGGCACCCTAACACGCTACGAACTCGCCGGCTGAATATGGCCGACATCAATCAACTTAGGCATGTGACCGTGGCAGCGGCAGTCCCAGGTAAGGCCTCAGAGCTTCCTCGCACCGACAAGCGAGCATTCATGGATACGAACGACCGCTCAGCTTACTGCACGGCCAGCAATGGCGGTGGCAACCTCAAGGCGGTGAGAGCTATTCGTGTGAGCCAGCTTTTGTGAAGCGACCCCTGGCGACAGAGGAGGATGAAGGAGTTGCCCTTACCATCCTCATATACACGCAGGGGACGCACAGAATCCTCGTGGCACTCGACGGAAAGTGCTTTCAGAAAGGGGCGAGGGCCAGGTTACCTCGGGTGTGTGAGCTTGGGCTCCATAGTTCGTTTGTTGAGGGGGCATTTGGAGCATGGCGTTGAAGCGGGAACCCATGGCATGCTACGTGTTGCCTAGCAGGATCAGCAAGATGAAACACAGGACAAAAATAATTTCTGAGTCTGTCAACTCTAGCATGGTAGCCGGGCAATACCCAAAAGGCCTGGAATCGGGTAATCAGATTTGGGATCGCGCCTCCGCAATGCACCGTCAGCTACGACCTCTCATTGCGCCCCCGAACAGGAAATGCAGTGAACATCACCGCCTATTATTGGCCCTATGATGTCTGTGGCTGACGAGCTTGGCATCCGGGACCAAGATGCATCTTAGTCTGCGGTTTCCTGCCAATGACATGCGCCAATACGATCTGCGCCGCAGCGTTGCATCAAATCCGAAAGCTGTGCTCGCCTGGCCAGGAACAGCGACGCCAGGGTTCTGAAGCCATGCATGGACTCAAAACGAGGGCCATGGGTCTATTCGACAAGGACAGCACGTCACGCCAAGTCCGGAAGGCAGCTCAGCAGCTGGGGTTTAAGCTTATGTTCGTTGGTTCGCAGGGTAACATGTCAATCCTGCCATGGATGGTGGCGAAGACGAAGATGGACGCTTAAAGCTTTCGGTCATGCGAGCCGCCAAGAATAGAGGACTTCATGCTGGGGATGCATGGAAGCTTGCAGCGGCTAGATCGATTGATCCTGTGGCACAGCCACCACTTGAAGTAACAAGCTTCGGGGGCTCAGGGGTGTTGTCCAGCCCTGACTAATTAGGGAGGAGGGCACGCGCGAGCCGACAAGGGCCAGTCCCCGAACGCGGTGCAGTAGATCCGACATATGGTTCATGATGAACGTTCTCAGCTTCGCTTGAGGAATGGCTCGCTTGTTCCTTGCTCAGCCTTCTCTGAATCCTTTGTACAATCCTCCGAATGTCCTTGCCTCGCAATCATCGTCAATCATTGCAACGCTGACCGCAGTGCGCGTCCAAGAATATCGTCAAACAGAGTCGCGTCCATGGAGTGACGAAACCCAGCCAGAGGATCGCAAGATCGGTGACAACAATAACTTTGTAAAGAAATAATCAAGTATAAAGATGGCTTCGTGATCTTCCAAAGTTCTGACCGTCCATCATCAACAACAGCAACTCAAAAGCAACAGCCTCACCAGCCTCAACTACTTCATATCTCGTTTTTTTTTCTCTCGAATCTTAGCAGAAATCTTCCAGCATGCTTTTCAGTGTCGGACTTCTCGCCCTCGCGGCTTTTCCCTCGTCTTTCGGAGCTGTTATTCAGGCGCGCCAGGACGACCCCGAGAACCCTCCCCGTGATCCCCAGCCTCCTCCTCCCGGCCCTATCTTCGGACGGGCACCCGAGCTCGACAAGCGCTTCCAGCCTGCTCTTGACTTCGACACGGACAGCTGCTACAATGTACCGGCGATCGGCCCCAACGGCGACCTCGCCATTGGCATGTTCCCTTTCGAGTGGCCGCCCCAAGCGGGCTGCCGCAACGAAGAGATGCTGGACCGAGGCAATGTCTACTCCCGCCAGCGCTGCAACAATGGCTATTGCGTCATTTTCTACGCCTACTACTTCCAGAAGGATACGGCGACGCCCATTGACGGGCACCGCCACGACTGGGAGCACATTGCCGTGTGGGTGCGCCAGAGCGACAGCTTCGTTACGCACGTTGCCGTCAGCCAGCACAAGGGCTACGATATTCGTGAAAACTCCCAGATCACCTGGACTGCGGCGGAGAATGGCAAGCCGGCGATTGTCTACCACAAGGATAGCATCCTGACACACTGCTTCCGGTTCGGCAATGGCGCCGACGCCGGTGGTCCCGGGCCGGAGAACCACCGGAACCAGTGGATCACGGGCCCGCTTCTCGGGTACTTTGGCTGGGACACCGTCGAGCAGAGGGACAGGATGCTGACGCACAACTGGGAGGCTGGCTCTATCGCCATCAAGAACGAAAACTTTGCTGAGAACATTCGCAAGGCTCGGCCTGCTGGACTGGTCTTTGACGAGAACATTGACGACGAGGGCACCAACAACATTTGAGAAGGCTCTTTTTCTCAAGTTCTTCTCCGGTGTTTAAGTTATGGAGTGTGTTCACTTGGTTGAGATTATCAGATGGGCGTACCAGGGGTGTTAGCATGGGAGTCGTCTCTTTTAGCATTTTACATAGCCTTGCTTGCGATCGAAATGAAATATTTTTACTCACAACACTGAGTTTCCATCAGTATTCGTAATCTAGTGTTTCGTACAAACATGGCCGTGTCGCCATACGAGTGCAGTGCTGGAGCACAAGTGCGGTTACAGAGAGGCGAGCTCTCTTGGGACGGGAACCCATCCGCCAGAGGCTTGTTTTCGCGACGGATGCATATCAAGCGAGGCAAGTTTTAGTGTTTCAGGAGCTAGGAACAGGAGTAAAATAGAGGCATCACTATCGACAGACTACTCTGCCTACAGTCCCTCAACCATCATCTGATACTTCTATCACATCCCTACTGACTAGGCGCCGTATGTCAAAGGGGTCAATGGCAATGTGGCAGCAGTTGTGCCTGAATGTTACCGTTGACAATTCCGGCGTCGGCATTCAGGACCTCTACCCAACCCTGTGGTTCTCATTCTCAATAGCTCATGCGTCTATTCCATCAATCTGGGATCTCGGGCGTCAAACTGCTTCATCCAGAGTCAACGGTTCACCGTCTTAGGTCATGCCAATTAGCGTTCTGGAGCCCCCGCTAGGGGAAGCGCTGAGTAGACTGAATACGACGTAGGGCTAAAATGGCAGGAGGCGGTAGATAGGAAGAATGAGTTTGCCTTTGTGGTGCTGCTGTTCATTCTGTCCGAATGGCGTGCCTGTGATCTTTCAAAGTGGTCAGTGTGATCCATTCTTCTTCGCTGCATTTTTCATGTTCCAATGGTGCTAATAGGGCCCAGAGCTGTCACGTCACTCACCGCCAACCAGACGTGGGCGCCGGCTTCAGTGGCGATAAGGAACGCTTCGTCCGACAAGCAAATTTCTGACAACCCCACTGTGTTACTTTTCCCCCCCCGATCACCTTCAGCTTTCAGCCGAAACATCGTGCCCTGGCGAAA